GGGGAGGCATCTCGAAGACTGGGCTTCGGCGGGATTTGTTCGATTTGCAGAGCGACGTTGCCAGCGCAACCTTATGCCTCTGTGCTCCCCAGTCGTGCAGCTTGGACTCTGTTGGGGGAGGATGATATTCCGGAGTGGGCCTCGTGAGAAATGGTATATTTAAAGCCTCGCTGGGTGTGGAGTTGGAAGCAGCGGGTTGGAGGGAGGATCAGTGCTATAATCGTAGAGCATTAACGAATGATTTATGTGTCTCGCCAGCTCCCTGGCTGTGTGGAGAGGTCGGGCCAACACAGGGCTACTGGTGCACGGTCAGCGCATCGCTCATTCATAGGGCATGCGGTGGACAATGTCACTTGCTGATAGGCTCTGGCCTTTCGATCGGTATGGCGAATGCACTTGATACGTAATATGAGCGTGCATATTCCATCAAGTAATGCTGACTTTTTAAAACTGTTTATGGATAATTGTATGCAAGCCCATAGCCAAATATATTTTATTCAAAACAAGTGAGGTACAAATGGGGTTTTACACTTTGTGGTCTCATCAATGTGGTGTTGCTGTGCTGCACCCATTGTATGTTTAGTCTTAATAAAAATGAGAGAATTCCAAATGTACCCGCACTATTTATGTACAGAAGTGAGGTTGCAGGTGCATGTACGAAAATTTCTGCAATTGCATCCATTGTGCGTTCACTGAATTTGTAATATACTGTGTAAGGCAGGCGTTGTGCATAGCAAATCGAATTTGTGAGATGGAATGCTGCAATAAATGCACAATAAAGAATACAGTTATTGCAGACAAAGCTATTTCTAATACTATTACAATCTAAACATTTCCTGGCCTAATTTAGAACAGGATATGTACTTGGAATGGCTTACTCTTGGAACAGAGCGCAAACAAATGATGTCAAGGGAGGGAGGGACGGACTAGCTAGTTAGGATACCTAAAAAAAATGACTATCGGTTAACATATTGTTGTTCATTTTTCATACATTTATTTATCAGTCCCATGTTGGGTCAGGCAAGGGGGTTACTTGGTTGAAACAAACTTAAACCATGAGTACAGTCGCCAAACAAGGTTGAGAACTACTGCGTAAAAAAATTGTCTTTTTTTGTATGCATGTTAATCAGTGCTTGGCCACGGTAAAGCTTCCTGTAATCTCCATATCTTCATATCTATATACAAGGCAAAGTTGTGATTGCGTGTCTGGTCAAAATGTTTAGCGCACTTCCCGACATGCAACAAACTTGAAATTTGCCATGTGGGTACTTTCCAGACTGTACACCATGCAAAAAATATTAAAATGCACTTTTGTGTTTTTTGGGGGGGAGCTCAATAATGCAAATAAAATTTGCACGGCAAGTGAGCTGTGACGTCAAATCTGTCACGTGACCCGCGCACGTGGAAGCGTAACGCATTGTAGTGTAGTGGTTAGCGCGCTGCACTACGAACCCGGCGACCCGAGTTCGATTCCCGCTCACGACCACCACCGGTGACGATTATATCAACCGGTCCTGGGCCTCCCCTAGGTCGACTCAGCCTCAAACGAGTAACTGCTGTGGTGTGTGAACATCGCCACTGGGGAGACAAAGGTGGCCGGGCGTGGTCAATCCAAGTCCCGGGCGAAGCCGGGTAGTAAAGCGAGTGTATTATAAAAAGTTTTTGCTGTCTGCCTGGCTGGGCCACTCACCTAGCGCGCACTGACTGGCTGGAGGTCATGCGGGTGGGGGCACGCGGTGGAGGTTAGGGGGGGCACCGAGGGGAAGTGTGGTTAGGGGGGGGAGCAGTGGTGAGCGTTGGGGAGGCAATCGAGGAGGGTTGTGAGCGAAGGGGGGCACAGGTGAGGGGGGGGGGCGACTGCGGGATATGGAGTGAGGTTGGGGTGGAGGGCGTTGGGGAGTGGGGGGGGGGTCCGTTGATGAACGACATCATCTAATATCAGGAAAAAAAAGTTTTGCTGGCTGGAGGCAGGGAGGGACGGACGATCGGTCAAATCCAAAGGACGTTCAGGCTGCTGATCTTACACGAAAGTCGTTTTTTTCACACTGTATTGACAAATTGTTGTTTTTGGAATGAAAATAAAACCACCTAATAATGATAAGCAACTGTTTACTAGCAGACGGCTCTGAGCAGTCCACAGTACTCTTAGCCTACACTCAGGTTGTTAGAGTAGTTTCTAGGTATCGGACTCGAGTGTGCACAGTGTTGTCGGTTACGATCGGCTAATTTGCCGTCGCACTGGCTCTGTTGACCTTTAAATATCAATGCAAATAGTAGTATTGATTATTTTATTTTTTATGTGCACAGGACTGTTGGGTTTTACATTCCGTCGGCACAAACATGACCGTGTATGCTCAATAAACATGCTGTATAAATACATATACAGTGATGTAGACATGTACCGTTACCGCGATTGTCACAATTCAATTCATAAAATATATTTTTATTTTTACTGTCTAGTTTGCATTGTTTTGTCTCATTTTTAAAGTTGTATCCACCACATTAGCCAACATGTGCATCTAATTTGATACAAAAAAACGAATTCGGTGCTCGTTTACAATTTAATGCATGTATCGTGATCATAATAATCGATCTTAGTAAAATAATTGATGGATGGTTGCATCCTTCCTCTTGCGTATAAAATACGTGTATGATCTACAGCATACTTTCCTGTAACACGGTACTGTTTTCTACTCGTATGTATGACATGGGAGTTGAGTACAGCACTGGTTAGCCACTCCGCTATGAACCCAGCGACTTGAGTTTAGTTCCCAGCCACGGCTAATATCAGTGGTCAGTGATGTGAGAAACCGGTCTGCCTGCACCAACCCGCGCTGACCAGCATCGTGAAGTTTGGTCTAAAACCCCCATGGCTCAGATGGCGTGGGTGGATTGAGAATGTATTGCATTTATTATTCATGCATATGACATGATGGTTTCAGGGGAAAAAAAATGTGTCGTAGCTTTGAGAGGAGCTGGTATTCGTTTAAAAGCGATAGTGAAAGTGAACCACCACTTTTGAATGTGTTGCGTTGCCCCCACTGTCTTGCATTGCGCTCATAAAAATATAAGTGAGAGGGATTTATTGATTGTGATATACTATTCTACATTCAACAGTAGCCTGCGGATACTTTATTTCATATGATGAAATTCCAATTTTCAGGTTTATCCCTTTTTGTTGAAGAAAACCTGATATAGTTTCCGCTGTAAGGGTATGAAATGTACTGTACTGCATCATTTTTTTAATTGAATTTCAGTCTCCTGAGGGTCCTTGTGATGAACCACTTGACCATATATAGCATTAAATATATATTTTTGGTCTATATGTTTTTTAACCTCACATTGTGTATATTAGAGGTGCATTGATTCATCGATTAATATAAACTCTTAAGACAACATTACATACATCGAATCGAGTCTGTACTTGTATGTTGTATGTAATGGGTTCACGTGACCCTCCGCAGCCACCAGTGGCCGCTACATTCACCACAGTGTCAAAACAAACATTTTTGAATTCTCAACCTGGAATCGGGCGGTTAATTGTTACACCTTCAAAGTATATTAACCCAGGAAGGTCCTCCTTTTGGAGTGATTAGCAAACTCCGTTCATGAATGTTTGGTATTCGGGAGGAAATTGGAGTACCTGGAGAAAACCCACACGAGTGAGAAGGTGACACTCAGGACTGCCATCTCCTGAGCACATCACGGAGCCCTTGTCCGCAATACCTGGAAAGCCCTGGTGGTCACTCATTCGAGCGCTACTTGCGCTCTACCATGCTTGGCGTACGAGATCTGATAATATTTTGCCTACTGTATTTGGGTTATTTTGTTTGTGGGTAGACCTTTCCGCAGATTGTGTCATGAGAGCGACTTACGCAAATGTTTGTCTTTAGTTGTAGCATCGGGTTGCAGGTTTCAGGCTGCTGTGTAGGCCCGCACACACCCATTCAACCCCTTTCCGTCTGGCAACAGTTGAAGAGAGTTGCATATTTAGCCACCTTGTTTAACCTTTATGATCAATGACTACCCAGTTGTTTCATCTGCTTCTGTCATTTGTCATGACTCTGATATTCTCGTGGGAGTTGGGGAGGAAATGGGTTGTATTGATAAAACAGCGACAAGCTGTAATTTTCTTAGGGCAAGTGCATTTAAGAAGGATATATTATATAGCATCTATATGAAGATGATTCCATTTAACACTGATCTCACATTGTGTCCTGAAAGACACACATTTTTTTATTTCACCAGGTGAGGCGCATTGAGCTACATAGCTTTTTAAGAAGTGGCCTGGCCAAAAATGATAGCTCAACGAAGTGGTTTATCATCTGGAAAACCGGAGGACCCAGACAAAATTCCTCACAGTCATAGGGAGAACATGCAAACTCCAAATATACAGGTGTCAGGGTTGGGATCGAACCCACAAACTCCTTCATACTAGGCAAGGGAGTTAACATCTTGCCACTGAACTGCATGAGTTACATTGTACTGGAAAACCCCACACAAAATCTATTGGCTCCTCTAGCTAGATTCATAAGATGAAACTGGCCTTGTTAAAGCATGGAGACTAGTAAAGACCAATACAGATCATTAACCTAGTCCTTGCAATTATATTTGTCCTGCAACTAATAAATTGTCCAGGTTCAGAGTAACAAAAACAGCAACCGTCGTTGGTGTCGTGTGTTTTCTGTTAACGTCAACATGACCAATGCCGTATCTGCTTTTAGCATTCTTGTGTGCTTTATATTTATGCAACAATTGCCGATGCCGTGCCTTGTTATTTTCCACCCACTGCACGCTTACTGGGATTGTGCTATAGTTTTAGAACTTAAAGTATGTACGCAAAAAAAAAACTTGTACCACATTTTTGGTAATAACCTCCGTTGTCACACATTTCTCTCTCAACAGCAATGTTTGGATCTAATTATGTGCACGCAAGCAGTCATGTCGGCCCTGCTAAATAAGTGTGCACTTGTGTTTGTGTGTGTGTGTGTTTCATGCAGACGGTGAGCGTAAACAAGGCCATCAACAGCCAGGAGGTTCCTGTCAAGGAAAAGCATGCTCGCAATATCCTTTATATTCAACATCCACACACCCATACACATTCCGGGATGGTACGCTTCAGAATGAATAAAAAAAATTGCAGGAAACTCTTCTAATTTTGCCAACGGCATCATGTCATCGATAATAAAGTTAGTCCTTGCAACGAGTTCCAGATATGTATTTGTCTGGAATCTCAAGGAGGTGCATCACCCGTGTTAGAGAATGGCCTGCAGAAGATTATATCGCAACCACTTGATAGCCTTTCTAGTAACCACTTTATCACAGTGTGGGCACTTCACTCCCCCCCACACATACCCTGCTTTAGAGATTGCAGTAAAATACATTTATTTTTAAATTCTCTGCTTACATGGTGCCAGATTAGTTACAAAAACTAATTTAACGTGATGCTTTTTTGCGTAGTCTTTGTTAACCATGTCAAGGCATTGTTTTTTCTTGGGAACTCGGTTTAATCATGGGTGACTGAAACCCAAATTCGAAACCAAGGATATCAGTGGTTACCTATGTATGTAGATTGAACTTCTTTCGCGCACCGTATGTAGCCAACCGTGCTGATCGAAAGCGTGGCTCGCCACTGCGATCTTTGAGCCAACCAGTGACCGAACAAAAAAAAAATAGTTCACAAATTTCTGCTGTTGTCCTTAGCACCCTGTTGCTCGTTTTACTGTGCATCCTGGGCACGTACCAGGAGAAAGGTGCCCACACCTTCTGGTCCGTGGTCAATCGGCTGCCACTGTCCAGCAATGCCGTGCTGAGCTGGAAGTTCTGTCACGTGTTTCACAAGCTGCTTCGCGATGGCCACCACAACGTGAGTTGGTGTGCGAGCGTTTGTCTGACTGTGGTCACCTGTGCTTCTGGCCGTGACGACGCTCTTTCCATACGCATGTGTCCTTGCGTGTTGGAAGGCACACGTTCATTTTGTGGGATGAGCCAGCGCGTGTGTGCATCTCTAAATCTTAAAAAACTAATTATAAAATAATTCACAGCCCTGTGCCAAGTCACTGCTGGATAAAGGCCTCCCAACACAATGTCAGTAACAGGGGATGTTTGACTATGCTTCACATCGCTCAGTTTGGATTGGTGAAGGAGGGAGAGAGGGGGTCAGGGCAAGTTCATATATTACCTTGTGCACTGATGTTAGCCATGGCTGGGATTCCGTCGGGTCACTGGGTTTTTAATGTAATCTTCTAACCAGTGGACTTACCACTGCACCACCGCCCCCATCTATAACCCTAACCATGCTCTAATCCTAATCTGTATCCTTAAGTATTGCTAATCCATATCTATAATTGTAGCTTAACTTGTACCCCTATAAACCATGGCGTTTATTTCTGGTTATAACTTGTTTTTGTCAGAACTTGACCAGAGATTCTCAAGCCTCCAGTCCTCGCTGTGTCCTGCAATTCACCTTGACACATTTGCCAGTGATATTGCCGTTGTGATTCTTTTGACAACTGGCATGGCATACAAAATACAACTCCTGCAATGAAGTTAATGAGATTATTAATGTGCATGACCAGATGGTGTGCTTGATTAATGTTGTTCCTGTGAAATGTTACATTTAATGTAAGGGAGGAAACCGAAGTACCCGTAGAAAGCCCACCATGCGCATGCGATGGTAGCAACTCTAAACATATTCATTAAAAAATCTACTGCTATACCACTACCTCATGGTCACCTTGCAGCCCATTCTTACAATATTTGACATGACAAAGCATTGTTAAATTTCTAGACAGACTGCAGTCTATAATGGAGCATCGATTTTGCCCATAGCCATAAAAGACAAAGATCTCCATATAGTCCTCAGCAGACTGTTGGGGAAAGTGCTGTTAGCGAGCATCGATGAAGGCCAGTAAGGCACATGAGGGGTGGGTCGCCAGCAACACGCCCGGCCGCCTTCAGTCTCCTGAGCAGCGATGTTTACACATCGCATTAGGTACTTGTTTCAGGCTGAGTCGATCTAGGGGAGGACCAGTACCGGTTCAGATAATCGTCACTAAGTGTTGGCCATGAGCGGTAATTGAACTCGGGTCGCCGGGTTCAAAATCCACTATACAATCGCTCCCTACAGCGACACACAGTACATGGCATCACAGACTACTGGGCCACTGCTTTTGTCATCTCTCTCCTCTGCCTTCCATCCTGGGGCACAGCAAGAAATGTAGCCACATTTTTTCACAGTTCCGCATATGGGTATGGTTACAGAGGAATAGCGGAAACATAAATATATAAATATCCTAAGTATGTACAGCATGTTAACACAGGTTTTGTAAAACTATAGACCACAGAACATTCGCAATGTCAATGCCCTCTAGGGTTTACTGTCATGAGACATACATGTGTTACCTTTAGAGAAAAAGCTTCTAAATAATCAAGTGATCTGGAGGAAGCTTCGACATGTTTGGCTATTACAAATAACATGCATTTATTCATACGTTTAACAACATTTTGTGCATGTGACAAGGAGTTCAGAGCTAGCAGCCACAGCCGTTCGTATATACTTGCTACATTTGGCCCTGCTACTTAAGCACCGATTGTATATAGGGAGGCCCTTGTTGCAATCTCCATCATGTGGAAATGTATTCTATGCTGTTCCTTGTGAGAATTATCTATGCAATGGAGTCTTGCATTAGTTTGTTTAGTTTGCTGGAGTCCACTTCTAACATATTGCAGTGGAAAATTATGGATTGTTCAACAAAACCAAGCATTAGTTTAACAGTTTAAAAAAATGCAATACATAGCTTCTGAAGTAACGTGAAATAAGAATGTATTGTATTCATTCTATATTGTGGATGTTCACCGAGATATTTAGTGTAGCATGAAGCTATTTGTAAATACTTGGCAGCTAGATAATGCTAGGGATTTGGTTGAATGAGTGAATCCTTCATATTACATTTTACATTAATCTGGAATGGAACACTCCGTTAATCGAATGCTGCACGTCTGCTGCTGCTGTTTTGTGAGAAATCCATTTTACATTATCAGGATGCCGCGATGCCACACTTGCAGCACATTATGTAATTCATAACATTAGAATATATGCGTCTGAGTCATCACAATAAATGAGCTTATGTTGAGCTGGCGTATAAAGCTATCATTGTCTTGCAGGTTTTGAAGGATTCCTTGCGTTACAAGAGTGAGCTGAACGACATGGGAAGAATGTGGGTAAGTTACGAGCTGTCTCAACGGTGTGTGTGCGTGTGGCAGACGGTGAAACAAATAAACACGCCTCTATGCAATTTGTTTCTTGCAATTGATATGTAATTAATTATAAAGCGGTATCAATTATGAATTTGGCGCACTATCAATTTGCTACAGCTGCGTTCTTTGGTTGTAGTCGTACCATGTAATTATATTTCCTTATCTGTAATTAACTACATAGTGGTGTAGTAATGTGAGTGTCCCCTGACAGGTGACATTCAATTAAATGTGTTTACCCGATTTCAAGATATTTCATGCATGATGATACTATGCGCAGAATCAAATCTTTGATTTGGAAGTGAAGCTATCGATATTGAGTAGACAATAGACAGGCATATTCTTAGGTTTTTTCGGTAAAGTCACGTAGGTAAAACATTAAAATTAATAAAAGTAAAATAAAATAAAAATCACGACGTTTCGGAGGCAACACAAGCTTCCGTCTTCAGGTGGAACCGTCACAGCCACGACAGCTGTATCAAGTAAATGAGAGATTACAAGAGCTACCACTCCGTATATATAATGGTTGTAGAGGGGGGAAGGGCCAAGTACGGCACACTTTTTATTAATATGGTAAGGTGAGGCTTAAGAGGGTGAGCCTTTGTTATGGAGAGGTATGGTTTGTGACTAAGCCTGGCCTACATAACAATAGTGTGAAAAAAGAAACAACTAAACATGGTAAAACAAGCCTGGCTGTCTATCAATAACCTGTAATAGTTGTCTGTCAAATAAGATGGTCCAAATAAGTGTAGTTAAATCTTTTTTGCATGGTTAATCACATCTTTCCAATGATTACTCAATTTGTAACCATCATCACGGTTGAAATTATGTCTGTGTTTGTATATTTGTATGGCTTCGTGACTTTACCGAAAAAACCTAAGAATATGAATCCTTGCAGTCACGAAAGCTTCAAATCTAGAATAGACAGGCAGCCAGCAGTTGTTCAGGCATAAATACCAATTCTACTTTAACCCTGGTGGGTTGATACGCACATTTTTTTTATGTGCATGTATTTGAATGCGAATGGAAATGTATTTGTATGCATGTAAATATATCCCAAATACCAACGGTGTTTGTATAAGTATCGTTGCATAGGAAAGGTTAACATCACCAGTGGGTCGGGTTTATTCAGAGTCTTGCGCGATCATTATTGGGGTTGGCAGTGTCTGCGTTTACATGTCTGTGGTTGCCGTCTCACAAGGGTCGTTGTGAGACGAGTGTGAAGTCACTGGGGCGTCTCTGTGACTTGCCCTTTTTCACGTGATCATCCGGGCCGGACGGAACAGCGCACTCACTGTGTGCCAGCTCGCGTGCCACACCCGCCCCCCCCCACCGAGCCGGCTGCGTGCGTGCGTCACTGCCCCCTCGCGGGGCCTGTGCCCGAGGCCCCCCGTCAGTCGTGGAGACGCGTGGCCCTTGTGCGGACGCTGACGTCGCGCAGCTGAAAGCCATTAAGACCCCACTCTGCGCGGCGGTTTTTACAATCCCACACAATGACACATGGGAGTTGCAGAGTTTAATGGGAAACGTATAAACACAGAGCTGGGGAGGTCTGGGGGGGGGGGTGTGGGATTGTGACTGGAAAAAATTGTACCCCCACATGGAAGGAAGTATGTGTGTACACTCAAGCTATAGATGTGTGCAGTGTATCTGTTTATTATACTTTTGCTATACATTTTCAATTGTGACCCGCAGTGTGACACTGTTGCCAGCGGTAGGATTGATCACCCTGTCGCTGGCCGCCTTTGGGGAGGGTGTATAGTATGAAAGGCCGAAACACCCTAGGAACCAAAGGTTCACTACTGACGATGCGCTCCCCAAATTTCACCAGGCTCACTGTTCATGAACTCTTGGAAGTGCTTGCACAAAGGATAGTAACATCTCATCCTGTGTTCTTTGGAATCTGAATATGTTATGTGCATGCTCATCAAACATGTCTCATGCACGGCAAGCATGTGTTTCAAGTATGTCAAGTTAAACACATTTCCCAATTTAGCATGCCATGCTGTAAAGTGCCTTTCTTCCACACGCTTGAGCTTATTACTCTTGAACAGACCAATGTAACCCTGGTGAGGGATACCTTCTAGCTGAATTGGATATGCTTTATTTACCGTACATTTATAACTGAACACAATACAGGGTGACCATGAAAGCCCTCCCTGGGTTTAAAGTGTAGAGTATCTTCATGACAAATGTTGCAGTGTGTGGGCGGAAATAGAACGACTGAAACGTTTGTTTAATGATTAAATGGAGTGCTGATTTAGTTTTGCTCATAGGTAAAATGAATGAAAATGTGAATACAATAGTTAATTCAAACTTACAAATTTTTCTTAAGTTGAACAGACTGCATCCATCATGGCGGTATTTTTGTGTGAATATTCCACGCATTTTTCTCCCCTAATAAAAACACTTCTTAATAGCTGTTGTAATTTAGATGTAAATGAAATACATCTATCAGCGAAAGTACACACCACTGCTTTTAACAGTGACTGCACCAACTGAGCTGCAGACTTTGCACGATGATGAGAATGTATTGCAAACAATGCTTGGAGAATTGCACTTTTATGTGCTCCAGGGACATTTGAATGAAGGATATGGTCGGATGGTGAGCATGTACGTGAAGCTGCTCATTACCAAGATGGATTTCCATATTAAGGTGTGTATTTGAAATGAGTTGTGTTAGCGCATTAGTGTTGCAGCATGTCTCACATTTTTATATAGATAGAATATATTTAGCTTAAGTCACTTTTAAAGGAAACCACAGGAGCAGCAAATAATCGATACGTGCTCGTATTAAGACATTTCCAATACCTTCAAACCAAATACGATTAACATAGCAAGTAATATATGTTTTCTGTCACAGCCAAAGTAGTTTAGAAATGGAAGTTTTTAGAAAACAGGTTGTAAGTCGTATGAAATTAACACATTTTATTTGAGTATTTTGTATCATCTAGCAATGTCCCTCCACTGGTGGATTTTATCAATTGTCTCGATTCAGGAATTATTAGATATTTTTAACACTGGTGAATGTATGAGCCATTAGTGTCTGGCATGGTCATTTGAAGCGATGACATAAAACATATGAATGGAACAATATTGATTCCTTCATGTGCTTAATAATTGATAATCGAGGAACATGCATTGTTATACCTAGTTATAACCAAATATGTTTAGAAATGTGGATGTTAATGTTTTTGTTTTTGACTGGTTGTAAGTCTTATAGAATGGTGCTTATTTGCTTTAGAAATACAGATTGCAGTTCAACGTATATTGGTGTATTTACATCCTGAATATGTTTGGATTCGATTTTTTCATAAAAAATGCAGTGTGTTACATGGAAATATGAGAGCAATGTTTCCGTGTAATATATGGCTTAACTGATTTAATTTGCAAAGGCGTATTTATTTGAAATTTTAAAATGAGAGTTTGGAAAAACTAGTAACCCACCGGCAATCTCAAATTTCCATAAATAATGGAAGGCTGCCTTGTAAACAAGCCGATTGGCGATGCTCTGTTTACAGACTGTGATTAATAATACATTATTTCCAAATGAATTGCTAAAAAAATATTCTCAGCCACATATTCTTGGTTCTTTCGGTAAAGTCACGTAGAAGGGAAGTAATTAAATAATATAAATATTATTTATTGTTTAATAAAATAATATAAATATTATTTATTGTTTTAAATATTATTGTTTTATATTTATATTATTTTATTATTTCCCTTCTACGTGACTTTACCGAAAGAACCCAGAATATGAATCCCTGCAGTCACGAAAGCTTTAAATCAAAATTCTCAGTCACAGATTGTGCTTTCTTATTGTTTTAACTCGTCATTACAATCATTCTCATTCAAGTGGAAACATGCTGGTGTTAAGTTTTGCGAAATGTAATTGAAAATTATTGCCAATTATGGGTGTTTAATTGTGAACATGAGCAGCCAAAGACAAAGATCTTCCTTAACCTCATCATACTGTTGGGGCAAGTGTCGTTAGCGGTCACCTATGAAGGCCGGCACGTCACACGCAAGGGGGTGGGTTCGCCAGCACCACGCCCGGTCGCCTTTATCCCCAGTGGAGATTTTTACACATCGCACCAGGTACTCATTTGAGGCTGACTCGAACTAGGGGAGGCCCAGAACCGATTCAGATAATCGTCACTGGTGGCCGTGAGCGGGAATCGAAGTCTGGTCGCCGGGTTCGTAGCGCAGATGCACGCGCACACACACAGCATTCTGCTAAGTATGCTTGTCATCCTTCTTCCATGTGAATTTTGTGGAGGTCAGTTGCGCTAGTTGGTGGTCAGTTGCACTAGTTTACTCCCTGTTCTCTGGTCTCTTACTGTACAGAACCCAGCCTTCCCCGGGAACCTCATGATGACGGACGCTCAGCTGGAGGCAACGGGGGAGAACGACGTTAATAACTTGTGAGCATTTGTCTCCAGGGCCCGAGTGGCTCTGCTTGCGTTTTATTTCTGAGCGGAGGAGGTGGCGGGTTGATGGGGGGGCCACAGGTTCTCTTGGCTCTTGTGGTCTTATTTGTCAATATATGCTGTGGACTGCTATTGTATATATATATATAAAGTGGTGTTTAATAAGAACCTCTTTAATGCTCGTACAAGTTATGCATATCAGGTAATTTTTCAGAACCAACATTAGGATGTGCTGATTGTGTTTTCCAGTTAAAGCATGTGCTACAGCTAAACTGGGACAGTGGGAATGTGCCTTTTGCCTTCACGGGCAATCGGTGGCCCCTGCGGTGGCGAGATGTTAACTACCTCTTCAGCTATGCAGGAGTTTGTGGGTTTGATTCCGACTCTGACGCCGAAATATTTTGAGTTTACATGTTCTCCCCATAGTAGCGTGGATTTTTCTCAGGGTCCTCTGCTTTTTCCTCTCAACATTTAGAAACAAGTGTTTAGAGTACAGATCTAGATTGAAGTGTTTCGAGTATTTTACTGCAATAAATTTCCATGTGATAAGCTGCTTTGTTGAGCTATCATTTGTGGTCAGGTCGCTTCTGAAAAAGAGCTATAGAGCTCAGAGGGCCTTGCCTGGTAAAATCCAAAAAGTTGTATATTTAAAATTTAGTGGCATATCCAAACAGGAGGCAATAGGGGTGACCCACCCCACCGTCCCACCCCCAATCCCTCCGCCAAATCCCTCACCACGAGAATTAGAAAATTGGTACTTATTGATATTGGCCAGAGACCATATCGTTGAATTTTTTTTCTATTAATGTAGGAACCGAATTAAACACTTTAGCATTAAACCACTCTTCCGTGATTTAAAGTCCAATTTATTTTAACTTTTTATCAATTGAAATGATAATTATACGTTTCAATGTTTTCTTTGACTTAAAAAATATACTTTTTGTGATTTATTTTTTTCTTCCAGTTTCCAGCTGACAGTGGAAATGTTTGATTACTTGGAATGTGAACTCATCCTCTTCAATGCTGGTGAGGACTTGACACAGTCTGGATTGACTCGGAACTTGCTGCTCATTCGCACATTTGAGTCACACCTTGTGGTCATTGTGATGCATTTCATATCGTGAGCCCAGATACAGTTAGATATGGTCCCATTATTTTATCATGTCCCGTATTGCAATGTACAGAAGCGTTGGACCTCCATTCATAGTTAATTGAACGTTAACTGGTGTGGATCAACAACTTTGGGAAATTTTAATGCGAGGCTTTTTCCTTATGTGATATGGCTAGTACCAATGGTAGATTGTCCTTTTTGTTTTGGCTATACAGTATGTATAAATGTAAGGGTCATGTAAGGACCCCTTGTGGTAATTAATAGATTAATAAATGCACAGTTGCTAGGAAGCGGCGCATTGGATTGGCCGGAATGTTAAATTGGGGTAAAAGGCGGGAATGCAGGATGACGAGGTAACAGACGGTCAGCGGTGGAGAAGGAAGAGAGAAGGTGTTTGTTGGAGAAGAGAAGGAGTAGGGGCAGAGAGGGAAGTTTCTGGAAGGTTCTGGAAGGAACGGGGGAGAGAGAATTAAAGGCGAGCTTGGAGAGAGAAACGGGGCTTTTGGCCGGTGAAGCTTCCTAGGAGTGGGCGTTTTGTGTTGCTGGAATAATAAAGTTCCTTTACCAGGATTAATCATGTGGACTCCCTTTCACTTATAAAGGAAGAGTAACATAGCATTGATAGGGCTTTGGGGTTTACATTTTTGGTATAATTTTGTTATGAAAATATGTTTATTTGGGTCAACTGTCCCAGAAAAGCTCCAATCAGTTTGCAGCAGACAGCGAAAGGCATGGATATGTAAATTTTTAATGTAAAAATCAATCATTTGGATGGAAATAAAGTATCGAGGACGTTCTCCATCAGGTTCAGGCGATGAGAAGTTTAATTAGAACAATGCTGAAAAAGCAGATTATTGAAGCAAGTTCTGAAAGGCAAGATGTTGGGAAAGAGGCCAAGAGGCAAACGAGGAAAGATGCTGCTTGAGGGATGTATAAAGAAAGGAAAGGAGATCGCACAGTAAATTGCAGAAAAAAGCTCGAGATCAGACAGGATGGAGGGAGTTTTTAGCCAGGAACCTGCCATTGGCCAGAGGAGTATAGAAGAGGAAATAGCAAAACTTAAGTCTTGTTTGAAGAGTGATGAGGCTAACTCCTAGTCACCCGTCACTATGGTGAGAATTGTATGTGCTTCTCATGCCCTCAACTGCAAGGTTAATGCCGTTGAGCTGCTCGTGCACAAAGTAGGTGTGAGGACACTATGGGAGTGCATAGAGAGGGAGGAGATATTACGTCTGCTTTGCTCACATGCATGGAATTTTGATGAAAAAAAAAGCGTTTGATGTTTCAACAAGCTATCGAATGAAATGACAATTCGTTTTTTTGTCATGAGAAAAGAATGCCAACTTAAATCTACATCCCAGTGTGTTACGTCTTAGGAGATGGGCATTTATTTTGTAAAGGATTAATTGCACAGTTAAAAGAGCATTTGATGGCTCACCATACATATAAAAACTTAAAGTATTTAGGGCCACCCTGTGATCTTATTTTTACAATGCGTGAGCTATAAGCTAGCTTTTAAAATACTTTGCTCTCGTTGAAAATTATATGTGGCATTTGTATTCGTGACATAATTTCCCATCAGCAGCAGGCTCTCTTATTAAAGCTCCCCATAAGCCTGCAAATGCACTTCGGACACCGAGTATTCAATGTTGTTTGGATGTTGAATGCAGAGAGTGTGAGCAGTGTTCTAACCTAATTTTTTAATATATATTTTAAAATGTGGTGCAGTGGTCGGCGCACTGCCTTATTGAACCCAGTTACTTGAGTTTGATATCCAGTCAGGGTTGACATCAGTGACAAGTAATATCTGAACTTGTTTTGGGTCCCTCACTTCACCAACAGCGTGGTGACGTATGGGCAAACTCCCATGCCCGACAGGGAATATAGGGAGGCCTTCATCCGATAGTGTACTGACAAATGGCTGTAATTTAGTCTTCTCATTTTTAATTATTTAGAGAATCTCCCTTGCATATGGCATGATGATGTATCCTGTGGTGTGTCAGGCAGTTAATTTTTTTTTGTGGCATGACACGAACCTTATTGATCGTTAAGTAGTGCTAAATGTTAATCCTGCACTGCACTTTCATAATTTATAGCAAGTCACTGCTAATGCGTCTTCTATTATTACTATGCAGAATTATTTTAATATCTTACTACATTCGAAATTTTGCATTAATTTCATTCAGAACTGCATGATGATGATAAAAGCAGTTAAATAATAATGAACCTGCTCTGGTTATATTGAAGAGATGTCGTTGGATGTAATGAAAATAATTTCATAACATATAACCACATATAATGACCATAAAATATTGTACGCAATATATTAACAGGTGTATATAATGGGCATAAAATGTTGTATGGTCATTATATGTGGTTATATATTACGCAGACCACAATTAATGTGAATCGGAACTAAGGTGTAACTAATCTTCCCCACCTTCCCTGGTGAGTCACAAATGTAACACGTTCCTTCGGAGTGGGCAGGTAGGAGCTTGGTTGGACAGCGCATTCGTGCACGCCAGACAAATATGCACGACAGACAGACACATAATCCCTGGTGGGCAGTGTGGGAACCATGTTGTTCCTACCTGTATTATGTTTAAACATTGCTGTGAATGTAGCTGCTACTATTGCCATTGGTGCTTTGCTGGCATGACCCTGATAGGAGACTGTTACATTCAATGTACAGTATGCGATGAAAAAAAGAACCATTGATTTTTTACGCACATTTGATGATGCGTGTGTCTTGACCTTAAGAATTTCCAAAACTGTGTTAAGGAGTTGCAGCTGGGATAGTCTTGAACTTTTTTTTATTACATTTCAATTTATTACATCTTCCATCCAGCATGTCAGGCAATTACTCCGTTCAGGTGCCACGAACCCCGTTCTATCTCACATTTTATTCCCTTCCCCACCCTTTCTGGAACTTTCCATGACTCTCCACAAATCTCATTAATTTCTCCTAAGAGTCTCCCAACTTAGCTCCTCATTTCCAGCTAGTTTTCCCTGACGACCAATTCGATTTGAATGGTGTGAGTGGTCTGTCATGTACACTCGTGAATACTTGAGTCCAGTGGGTCGCGAATAGGGAATATGTTACATTTAGTAACTCGCGAATATGCGAAACTCGCAAATCGCGAGGGTTTACTGCATAGCTCAGTGGGCATTACCTAGTAAAATAAAAATCGTTTAGTTGAGTGAAATAAAAATAGTGTAGTTTATGGAAAGTCACCAAAAATGTAAACAGTAAAAATCTATTATTCAACCCATGATCTGCCACCCTTTCATCGGTGCCAGAATGCCAGAACACACTGCCAGAGCACATTGAAAGTGTTTGAATAATCAACGGCTGGACATTGCCTCCGGTCCCCCTCTCCGACCCTTGCCGCTTCCCATTGTCAGTGTTCAGCTCAATGGACATGTCACGGCCTGTGTCCATGACCACGGCGGGACAGTGCCGGCTGGCACCGCTCATCCCCGTCGTTCTGGACTGCAGCCACCTGTACGACTACATCGTCAAGTTGCTTTTCAAGCTGCATTCATGTGAGTAAAGGAGAGCTGGGAAAAAAGCTTCCCCCACCCTTCCTCTCAATTCTGAATTTCACAGCAACTCCATGTAAGGATTGAAATTCAGATGTGTGTTCTTTGTGGAATGTTCTTCCGATCCTCCCTCCTTCTGCCCCTTCCAATTTCAAAGGACTTAATTGTTTGTTTTACAATACAGTAGAACTTTTTAATATAAACGGATACGTATCTCCCTCTAGTTGGTGCCACAAGTGCTGTGGATAAGAGGCGTGCTTATTCTAATTTTGCGGCATACAGTTTGTATTTTACAGAGTTTTTATTTGGTGGGATTTATTTTTAAGGATGTCAGCCACATTAACTTAAAATAAATTTTTTTCCCCACGGCAGAATTGTCATATCTTACAAGAATGTCTCGTGTAGTACAGATCCAATCGACTGCTTGCAAGCTCGATTTGTTTTGCTCAAAAATGCATGTGTGGGAGAACTATGTTAAGTCCTATAAAATAGTGTACACTCAGACCCTGGTTGTTGGATTCATATGGGCTTGTGTGTACATGGGTTTGTTGGGCTGTCCTGCAGGGTTATTACAGCCCTCGCCACGGAACATTTTCACTGGAGGTTTAGTGCTGCAAATTTTGAGGCAAAAGAAATGTGCATCTGTGCAAGTGGCGTAGCGCTGAGCTGTGTTGTGAATTGATCTCCACGCTTGTTTGCTGCACCATTGTGTGGTGGTTTTTGAAAGCCTCCTTTAGAACATGATGTACTTCTGGGTGCTTTATACACATTTGCAATTCTGTTTTGTGTATTACAAACGACATTTTGGGATAATCCTTCAAAAAGATAAATGTTACCCTCCACAACTCGGCTTAAGCGCATTGGGTGCCACAGTAGCGAGATGTTAACTACCTCGCCTGGTATACAAGCAGTCGTGGATTAAATCCCGACCCTGACGCCTGCTGCTGTATATTTGAAGTTTGCATGTCTCTCTCCCCGTAGTTGTGTGGGTTTTTCTCCGGGTCCTCCAGTTTTTTTCCTCCATGTTTAGAATCGTGCGTTTAGAGTTATTTGGTCGGTATACTTTTCCAGGTTGCTTCTGAAAAAGAGCGATACATCTCAGTGGGCCTTGCCTGATAAAATAAAAAATAGCTTTAATAGTGTTCTAGTTTTACTAAAATTTGAAGACTAGTCTGTAAATAAATCTTGCATTTGTAAAATGTTACAGATATGGTGCTAAAAATATAAAACGTATAGTTCAATACGGTACATGAATCGACAAACTAAAGGACGGTTGACGGGAAAGAACGAAGACGCGTTGTTTTCTATTGAGGCCATTCGGGCAGCAACTCGTTGCAAATGAGATAAAATTTGAGCACTTTAAGCAAAGTGCTTATTAGATATGGTGTGTAAATATTTCATAGTAAAATCAAACTTCAAGTGGAGGAAGCTGTAATGGACCATGAATAGCTATTCACCTGAATGGTACATTATGAAGGTTATACATTGGTGGCATGAAAACCATATTACAGATATTGTGCCTCAGTGCCATGAGCGTCACTGTACATTCCACAGAATAACATGCATCATGTGTGCTCAGGTCTTCCTGCTGATACACTGCAAGGTCACAGGGACCGATTTCTGGAGCAGTTTAAGAAGTAAGTCAATGCATTAATCAGAAGAGCACCATTTTAAAATGTTTTTCTTGGTCGAACTGTTCATCCGCAATAAAATCCATTAATGCACGTGTCGTGACATTGGGGATGTCACTGTGTGGTGCCGGCCCTAGAGGGCCATGGCGTGCGATGTACTTGCATCGCGGATAGCATCGTGTGTGTTACAGAGTGATGCCGGCTCTAGCAGAGCACGGCGTGTGATGCTCTGTCATCGCGTACACCCCGTAGGCGGGTGTAGTACCAGCCCTAGCGGGGCTTGGTGAGCGCTGGAATAGCGAGGGCACCACGCATAGCGTGCAGTGCGGGCTCCCACTAGAGGGAGCAGGAGAGTGTCAGCCCAGGGACAGTGTTGCCCCGGGCCATGGCACTCTGGTTGACCCCGTAGGCACGTGATCCGGAGTGTCCATAGGGAGGCCCCCAGGTGGGGGGGCTAAGGGGTGATCACGTGTCCGGGGAGAGCTCTCTAGAGGGATCGAGAGAGAGCTGGAACACTCTCGAAGGTGGGCGGGGCCAAGGGCGGAGCCGGCCCCGACCCGGGAGGATATAAGGTGGGTCCCTGGGAGGGACCGGGGTTGCTTCGTTCTGCAAGCTGGACGCTCCACGTTCTACATCTGAAAAGGCACCAACACGTGGCCCGGGACCCGAGTACGGGTCCGGTCCGTCGTAGCCATAACTCCTGTATGGTAGTGTAGTTAGCTGGGTGGTCACCACCCTCGGCTGTATCTGGTAATGGGGCAGCTACCCCTTTTGTATATACGTGTTGTGTAATAAATGTGTTGCCTCTGAAGAAGAACGTCTGCGACTCAGTTGGACCCACTACACATATATGTGGTTGTGATCAACTTTGAATATCCAACGGCTCATGATAATCATAATCATTGTGGGCAGAATGTGGAGACTTAATGGTTATTATTTCAGGAATTTGTTTGCTCACATATTAAAAAAAGATCTCAACTTTTTCGGCCTTCAAAATATATTGTTTGGCAACAGTGGTGCTAATGTTGCGAACATGATGGCCATAACAATTATAATAATAATCTCTGATGCGATGATGCAACGCTTAGGTGAGCGTAATTTAATAATATAATTATCAAATCAACAGAACACAAACACCCAGTTTACTGCAGCCTTCTCTGCTCTTACATAAGACTGCTCTCACATTAATAATCATGTTCTCACATGAGACCTCAACATGAGGTTAACTTTTGCCACCCTTGAATGCCAGAGGCTAAACTATCTTTGTGCATTTTTACGTGACCTACGAATATCACGTAATTAACAATACTTTAAAAACTATAATCGACGCAAGGATATGTCTTAAGACATTATCCACCATGACCATGATGGATTAAAAATCTGATAACTTATAGTTTTTGTTGTTGGTGGTGTTCATGGAGTTTCAAGACTGTTACGCAAAACATTCACAAGCATGTGCATTACACGCTGGATTTCTGAATTCAATATTTGTTGTCTAAATTCTGTTTATTCTGTGTAGGTTGAAGGAATACTTGCATCGCTCCAGCAACCTGCAGTACTTCAAGAGGCTCATTCAAATCCCTCAGTTGCCAGAGGTAAGAGATGATGGCCAAGCTTGACATGTTTTATAAAGTCTTCTAATGTCTTCACAGGGGACTGAATTGGTGTTGTACTTGTGCTGCCCATTGGTGACTTTTCAGCATCGCAAAATATCCCATTTATTTAACGTTGCTTTACTGTATCACATCGGCTGGCATTTTTTCACGCACGGTAACACTCAAGTGCACCGTATCCTGTTTGTGGCGAAACGTAAAAAAAAATGTTGCCGGGCTCTGGGCCACGTTTTGCAGATCCCCCCCAATTTCCTGCGTGCGTCGGCGCTGTCCGAGCACGTGAGCCCAGTGGTGGTGATCCCCGAGGAGTCGGCGTCTCCGGACAGCGAGGCCGTGCTGGAGACGGACGATCTGGTGGACACGGACTCCACCTCAACACAGGTATGTACGTCCACCCGCCTCGCATTGAAGCAACTTGAAAACATTCACCTAATGAGGTATGTTTTTGGCAGAATTTTTGTACACGTTTTTTTTAAGAGAATATCCATATTACAAGAAGAATTGTGAAATATTTTGGCTATAATTCAATAAATAGAACTGGTGGAAAATGTATTTCCATTGACAAACTAATTATGCCCATAGGGAGGTTGATTATTACCTACTATAATCACTCAGAGATGTCTGTCCGTCCCGTGTGTGACGTCACTCCACATGAGGCCCACCCCCCCTCATTAATATTCATGAGTGGGTGGATTTTTACACTAACGCAGAGGAAGGTTGAACTGAATGAAATAATTTATTACGCAAAGTCGCTTCAAATATGACGTTTATTTACAGAAAGTGACGGTAAAAAATAAATCTACGCAGCACAGTGCTACATCCGTACGTGATGTCACTGTAAAAGAGCCCCCCCCCCCCTTAATTAATATTCATGCCCGCTTGGAAATTTACACAATCATGAGACGGGTGATGTCACTCCACATGCCGCACCCCTCCAAAATAACCATTAGCGGGTGACGTTACTCCACATGGGGCAACCCCCCCATCATTAATCATGAGCTGAATAATTTTTCTATTGAATATGTCAGATTTACTGCAATATATACCCATGCATGGACGGGCAAATAAGCTAGTTACTACTATAATGAGCCAAGAATGTCTGTTTGTGTGTAACGCGCGTGACGTCACTCCACATGCAGCACCCCCCCCTCCCCCCCGTCATTGATATTCATGAACGGGTGACTTTTTACACTCACGCAGAAGAAGGTCGAGCGGAAATATTTTTTTCGCAAATTCGCTTTAAGTTTCACGTTTCTTTATTGAAAGTTAATCTAATAAATAATTCTACGCAGCAACAAAGTGGATTTGGTGTCTTTATTTATTTCTTCAGCACTTGAGACAAAAGGTAAGTCAAATTTATGCTTTTACCTTATGGTAAAATAGACATTTCTCGGTGATTTTCCAGATATTGTATCGAATTCTAATTTATATCAAACCCAGCGAAGGAAAGCAGAATAGAATAAAGTATCAGAGCAGTAAATTTGAACAAATTGAAGGTCAGTTATATACACTGCTACAGTGAACTGCAGTAAAGTGTTTTATGACTTCGTTTTGTGCCAGATTCACTGCCATTAATACAGTGCTACAGTGAAATGCAGTGAAGTGTTTGATGACATACTTTCATGCAAGATTCACTGCCATTAAATTTGCACAATATACAATTATACTCTTCTTGGTTATTTCGGTAAAGTCACGTAGAATGGAAACAATAAAAATAATAAAATAAAACGTAATAAAATAATTCTCACGACGTTTTGTTATGTTTTATTTTATTATTTTTATTGTTTCCATTCTACGTGACTTTACCGAAAGAACCAAGAAGATGAATCCCTGCAGTCACGAAAGCTTTAAATCGAAATACAATTATACTGTGCTCAATTTTTTCGTACATATTACAGCTTCCGTCCAAGGACGGGCAAAAGAAGCTAGTTCAATATGATTACCAGGAGCAGTGGTACATACCTCTAATTTATTGCTTTGAAGGTGAGGTTGGTGGATTGTGCAAACATTCGTGTGTGTTTTGACACTCCAAATTTACAGGACTACAAGGTTGCTCGTAGATCACAGCAGGGCAAGTAGGTTGCTGACCCATTTGTATGAATTTTGAGTTGGGTTTACATTTATGAGTTAAGTTTGAAGCAGATTTCTCCAGTTACTCTATTTTGTCCTTACGAAAATAATTTGTGCAATGTATTCATCGAGTTATGCTTCGGAATAAGTGCTTTTGATATTAATACAAAGCACGTTTTCAATTTTCATGAGCATGCAAAACATAGGCCTTTAATGCGACTTTTGTATTGGACATTTACACCTCCATAATAATACATAAAATAAAAATATAAGTAAATTAACAAGGCAACCAGATATTAAATAATGTTGTTATTTGTTTATGTGCAGCATCTTGAGAGGCATTCACATTTAGATGCTGCATATACCATATTGTATTGTTTTGCAATCTACTGCTGGATGAAGGCCTCCCCACACTGTGTCGATCATGGGGCTGTTTGACCGTACTGCACCATGTTGGTCTGTGTGGTATGGGTTGGTGAGGGAGAAGGGGTCAGGAGGTAACACCCGTTTTGGATATCACTCACCACTGATATAATAGCCATGGCTGAAAATCCAACTTAGGTCACCAGGTTCATAGAGCTAACCACTCCACCACTTTGATTATGGTCTTAATTTCATTATAATGCTGCCTGATGAACATTTAAGGTGCTATTTCTGAAAGCGTAATCAACATTTGGCTCATAGTTTGCAAGTGTCTGATATACATACAGTCTATATTCTGTTATACAACAACAACAGCCGCCATTCGCCACGACGCTTGTGCCAGGCTATGTGCACTTTGAGGCCACGTGAAGTGTCGAACGCCCGCTGGAAGGTCACGGGGCAGACCCAGGTGCCACGGGTCGACTGACTGAGATGACTGGCTGATGTACCACCTGTGCCCCCTACTGTGCTAACTTGCTATGCTTTAGCCACCCGGCGCTCCGCTCGTTGTTGTGAGCGTCGCTCCTCCGCCCTCCGTTGTTGGAGGGCGACTGCCTCCAACTGCCCGGTAGCGTCCTTCACAAGCCTCCTCCACAGAGGCCGATCTTGCCACCGCTGGTACCAGTCATCGGCAAGTCCACTCAGCTCCACATCCTCTTGTACCACATCACTCCATCTCTTCTCTAGCCCATGCTGCGCCCATTTATCCCCCTGTATCCGGCCGAACAAAAGCTGTTTAGGCATGCGGTGACTGGGCATGTAGGCTATGTGACCCAGCAAACGCAGCCTTGCATGCCATACATGTAGTAGTCTCACACACACATGGTCTGATGCAACATTCCAGAAGGCTCCTTTTACTGAGTTTTTTTGTTTCGCTGTATGTGCACAGTGCTAAGCGGTATGCCCTTGGGTTAATATTTTGATCGATATTGTCAACTCATACTTTTTTACTGTGAGTTATAGGAAGTTTTAAAATAATTAACTGGCACCAGAATATGATAGATGCCCTCTGAAGAATGATGCCCTCAGCAAAAATTGTAGGTGAATGTTATCTGACATTAAACGAATTTTCTGAAAGTTAATTTATAAAAAGCATACATTCGATATGTAATGAACATAACAGGTTTTGAAAAAAAGCACATTGCAATTATTTTAATATACACAGGTAATTTAACATGTAATGTATAAATTAAGACAATCAATGAAATGAGTTGTATTTACAATAAAATGTTACCGAAATTCAAAAATGCAGTTTGTATTCTATGGGGGCAGATTAGATTTTACTTCGCATATAAAATACAAATCCTAAAAAACGAAGCAACAAAAAAATAGACTTGAGTGTGGCTATGGGGCATTTCAGGTCATTGTTGACGACTTCACAGTGTTGGCGAAGATCCAAGCAACCCTGGTTTATGTGCGTCGTTGTTTTGATTTATCCAGACAGGCTTTACAAAATATAAAGGCAGGGAGAAATAACAAGTCAGGAGACGAGGGTTCGAAGCGGTGGTTACAGTGTCGACCGGTGAAGCTGGATCTCAGGATTTTACCCTCAGCCCACTGTGTGTGATGTGAGCTCTGTGGAAGGGTGTATGTCGTTCAAACGCTGGTATTGCTCGTCACAAGGGAACTAAACAGGAAACAAATGTAACAACCGACTACAGATGCAGGAGGGGTCATCGTGCTTGGGAAACGACTGTCTCATGATGATGAGGAAATATAAAATCCTTGCTACTTCTTTTTACCTTTCACTCTCTTACATGTTCTAAATAATGTGTAGGGAACACATTTTTATTGGGGTGTTTTTGGCCACTATAATTTAGAATTCTCATGTAAAATTTATTAAAAATATTTATTTATTTTGGTTTGTTAAACTAAAAACAACCACTCATCTGAGTTGCTCCTTTAACTGTGGGGAAAACAATATTTATTTCAGTATAACAGCAATTTTTTTATGCTTGTGCCTGCATTATTACCCATCATCAGTGGCAACTGAGTAAGTTGGCTTTCAAAAAACTTATATTAAATTCCAACTACATTCTATTCTATTTTGGATTTATTTAGCGCCCTTTCCAGGGCACTTTAAAATTCATAACCATGCGGCGCAGCCCATTCCAGAAGTACAACGTAAGCATTTTAATCCACATTTTTGCCTTTCAGAAGTCAAGATTGCTAGACAGGAAATTATTTCCGCTACTGGCATGCAAAGAGTTACGTTGACCCCAAGGGGATGGATTATGTATGTATGTTGAACTTCTTTCGCACTGTACGTAGCCAACCGTGCTCATCGTAGGTCTGAGGGAAGGACAACAAACTAAATACAGAAAACAGTTCTAAAGAAATGAGTTTTCAATCTAGATTTAAAAGTACACTGCTCCAGTGGCTTCCTAACATTGGCAGGAAGAGCGTTCCAGACGGCCGCATCTGAAAGCGCGCGATGCAGTGACCGTTTTTGTTCGATGGCTAGCCAAAAGCCATTGTGAGAATGACCTGAGTTTGTGTGACGGTTTATACTACTTGACGAGAGCAGCAAGATATTGTGGTTCATTTGTGGCAAGCACTTTGTGTAATGAGTACGACCTTATAATGTATTAATTCGGCAACCGGAAGCCGATGCAGCTCAGCGAACACTGCACGGACATAATCAGATCTCAAGCTTTCAGGCATTTGAGACACTCGGCCCTTAATGTTCCTGCAGGTAGCAAGGCACATATTATCTTTAACTAGGTGGAGCACGCAAATACCAGTCACTGAAATCAACCAGAACCTGTGCATTTCCATTGCTCTCCCCACAAATCAGTACCATGTCTCACTACTTGGAAAGACACATGTCGATGATTCTGGTCTGATACCTATAAAGTTATTGGTTATGTTTCTGGAGCAAGATGGAAAATGTGGAATACAATATAAGTGTCTAGGCCAATCGAAACTCTATCTATCTAACATCGCGACTGCATGTTGGGAATATATCAATGTTGCATCAAGTATATAAGATAATTTATTTATATATATATATTTTTAATGCAGCTTATTTTGTTAATGTGTGTCCCAGAGGTTGTTATACATTATTGCCATGTTGATGACCATTCCCGACTTCTGCAGGCAATTTTCAGCTTGTTATATGTAAATGGATAAGCTTGTGCAGTGGCAACTCCTTCTTGGAAGATGCTCACGCACGATATTCAACAATCAAAATTGACGCTCCACACGTTTGTTGTGCATCTTTTAGCGACGCTTGAGCATAATGGAGTTTGCGGTGGGCATTTTCTGCCACCAATGGTCACCTCTGTATTCTGGGTTTAGCGTACATTTGTATAACAAAAATCAAATGGTGATTATTTAATTTTACACCTACGTGACTTTCCCTAAAGAACCAAAGAGTATGGATTTCTGCAGTCACGAAAGCTTCAAATCAAGATTGATTCGTACATTTCGGATTCACGCCATTCGTATCGCACATGGCTGTCATTGAGGTGCTTGTTTCAAAAATATAGTTTACCAGTAGAGGGCGATGTGGCTCCGTGTTTTTTCCCCCAATGAAAGAATTTGCAAGTACTGTAATTCGTAAAATTAGCACAAATTTAATTTTCCAAACATTACATTTCGACTGCGAATTGATTTGAAGGGATTTATAAAAATATATATGAAGCTAATTTAATTATATTTGGAGGGAATACAGGACATGCTTGCACGGGCAGTCTCCGTCAAATAGCTGCCGCCACATCAGAATAGCAATCGGTTCTCTTGCACACAGGAGCTTGCCAACTCTGCAGTAGCTAATTTCAGCAGACATTGATTTTGTGTCTTGTTGGTAATGTGATATCTCGGGCACCCACTCGTATATTGGCAGAATACCTCTCATCCTTGCTTTTATTAGTCTCTCAGACAGGCTGTTGAAGAGTTCGTGCAAGTTAACCTGCCAAAAGCATCACTTGTAAACAATGCATTCTTTATTCTTGCATTGCTGTACGAGTGCAGTGCACGGTCAAAGATATACTGTAAACAGGATGTTTAAAATCTAATGAGCTTGCGGTAATCACTTGTGTTTGTCTTGCTCAGCTTTTTGAACGTTATCAAAAACATTCCCGTGGTGGCTGTGTGCTTGGCTAAATACTGCTACCCCCTTGTATAAATAAATGGTGATCCTTTTTGTAAGTGAGCAAGTCATTGAAAACATTGTGTAACTTGAGTTGTTGGTTGTCTCCATCTAGTGGAGGATTTTAAAATGGACGGTGTTTGTCGATTCAGCAGATACCAGGGCAGATACCAGGGCAGATACCAAGGGCGTTCATTGTGCGTTATCAGATTTCGAACAGACGAAAATGAAATTGCCCTTTTACTGAATCCGCCATGAATCAGCATAAGCATCGGTGATACCACAACCCCTATAAAGTGCTATGTTGGTCACAAGTATTATATTTAGTTAAATTTCTTCCAGATTAGCCTACCCTCATCATTCTATATGTACCCGATAGCATCATATCTCAGAAGTAAATCAAGCTCGAGCCTGCTTAGTAATTGGGTGGGGTAGCTACCTCGGCTTTCTAGCTGTTTGGAGCCACAAGATGGCGGTGCTGAGTCTCACCTCCCTGTTCAATCATGTGGGGTTACACCACATACATACAGGGTCATTCTTCGTTCAAACTAGGCAGTTACAGAAACAGCGGGTCATTCATTTTCAAAATATGATGCTTCTCATCCACTCTGTTGTTTACCCGCAGAGAATATATAAAAAAGTGCATACTGACGTCATCACCTGATTAATTATTATTCTAGTCTCCTTGAGCTCCAATTATGAGTTGATCCAGTCTAGATTGGAGTTTTCGTGACTGCAGGAATCCACACTCTTTGGTTCTTTCGGTAAAGTCACGTAGGTATAAAATTAAATAAACCAAAGATTATTGATCCAGTCTGTTATTTTCAGGAAACCTGTGGTGAGGCACATGGGGTATTTTCTCAGATATTCGGGCCCTGTTGTATCTTATGCGGTAATATTGCTTAATAATTGCACTGGTTTATGTATTTGAAAATAGTATTTTATCCATTGCTCATTCTGTAGTGCAGTGCAAGGTCATCTCCTTGGCTGTTTTCCCTGGAGGAGGGAAGTTCGTGTTAGCGTAGGTTGATCAGTTGTGTTTTTTTTGTTGTCTTGTATTTGTACTCTTTGGTTCTTTTGGCAAAATCATGTAGGTGAAAATAATAATAAAAATAAATATTTTTCTTATTTTTATTATTATACTTATTTTTACCGAATGAACCAAAGAGTATGGATCCTTGCAGTCACGAAAACTTCAAATCTAGAATGTCTTGTATTTTCTTTTATTATAATTTCTTTGAAGAAGTTCTGTGCAGGTGTATAGCATAATTCCATTTTTGGTTAAATCATACTTCCATGTTTGGGGAATGATGCTAATTCGATTGTGTGAGTCTAATTGGCATTATTCACATGCAATCTATTCCAAAATACTAATTGTGAATTTTTATATTCGTCGTGAAAAGTATATAGACATTTCTGAACATGGTAATAAACTCATAATCTTAGCTTCAAGAAAATTATTATCTGATTGTTATTTCAGGAAAAATATAGATTATGTTATACTTCTTGGCCAGAACAAAAAGAATGCCACCAGACTGATGTTTTGTTCTGAAACTGACAATAGTAAATTCTACATACATGTGTTGCAGTGACGTGCGGTGAGGTCAATGGCTGCTGGGTAGGCACTACCTAGTGTCCTAGCCAGATTCACACACGGAGGGGGCGTGGCCTCACTGAGGGGGCATGTTAGACACATCCCCCTCAGTGAGGCAGATGTGATAGCTGCCTCCCCTGGTGCTTTTTCATTGCAGTTTCATGACGAGACCAGCGAGCCTAAATATCTTGATACACATACATGAAATAAGTTATCTGGAGTATGGAAGGCGAAGACATGAAATGAAGGGGTCTACACACATTACATTGGTGACATACAGAGAGATAGTAACAGGCACGCGCTCATTGCCCGCGCTCCATCCAGTTACTGAGGGGTTGCGCAATCAGAGGGGAGGCTGAGCTCGTCGCTGCCTCACCTCACGTCTCTTCCAGTATTTGCAGCGGAGCTCCGCAAATTTTTTAATTTTTACTATAAAAATAATTGGAATCGTACAGAAATTACATTTAAAGCACAGATCAATGGAAAAATCTTAATATTTATTAGATTTTATTATTTTATTTTATTTTCGTAACAGCTATTTTCTTTGCAGTATGACAGGTGAGGCACTGCCTCCTCTGCCTCTCCTGACCGCACGTCGCTGATGTGTTGTCGAATTCTGTATTCTGGCCAAAAATGTGTTTTTTTTATCGATATTACATGCAATTGTCAATGCACTGTGTTTTTCAATTCAGAAACAAATCCAATTTTAAGCTACTTGTGCCAAAGTGCTGTGCAGTGCAGTCCCTTCAGACACCTTAAACATCGTGCAAACATAACAAGTAATCATGTATCATCTACCACTTTGATTAATTTCTCAGCACCAACTTTTAAGTTTTTTGCCCTTTTTAAGTCACCATACTTCTATATTTTATGCAGCGTATACTATTACACTTTTACAAATTCCAATCTCACACGTTTCCATTAACAAGTTCAGCAGTGTTCTTTTTTTAATCTCATATTTAATGCACATTCTTCTTATTCAGTTGTGGTATGAGTAAAAAAAACATTATAGTTGCAATGTTATTTCCTAATCTACACCAGCACAGGGGAATCATTATTGTAGGGCCTTTTCAATTTTTTTTCTTGCCACGTAATTTTCACAACCTCCCCATGTGAAACATTTTTGGAGAGTTGTTGAGAACAAGTGACAGAACAATGCGGAATTCAAAAAATATTAATTCTTAAGGGACCCTATTAAAACCAGGACGGGATATCCAGGAGAATTCACAGTGTCATTTTTCTTCTGTCGTTTTAGAGCCAATTCGACGATCGTTTTGATGACTTGTTTGGAAGTTCCACAGTCAGCACACCTTTCAACTTCAACAGCCAGAATGGTGTCTCCCGGGACGAGCGGTGGGTATGACACACGGACGATCTATAACACAAATAGTCTGTACTAATGTGGACATGAGTCACTGTTTGGTATTTAATACAATGTAGTTTTTTTCATCACAAAATGTCAATAAATAAAATCAACTGTTCATTTTGCAGGGCTGTCAAACAAATTAGTTAATTTGTGCCATCAGTTGAAAAAACTGTTTCCAAACATACTGCATATTGCCATTCATGTGTATGATTGGTTTTGTTTTATGTGCAAGTGCTGTCAATATTGTAAAAATGGGTAGTAGTAGTGGGCTTTGCCTGTGTTACATGGCGTCATTGTGACACTTCCAAAAACATCACATTTAAAAAATAATATGTCATTAGGATTCACCACCATTTTATACCTTTTGGATACAAACGTCACTCTTGGTTTTAAAGTTAATTTATTTTTTCTTATGACCATAGACTCAACTATAGATGTACAAAATGTAATTTTCCTAGTCCTTTTGGAGCATCATTTGAATTTACATCCGTCAATCCCTTGCTCATAACCATCAATAATAAAATTGTGATTGGAGCTTGAAATTAGCACCACACTGATGTAAACTCTAAACCTCATTAAACAGCATTAAATTATATCAAAAACAAGGCACACTAATTTAATATCTGTGTGTATATTCGTCATTAACATTTTACAGTGTTCTTGATTAACACTTCCACAGAAAATTACTTCTTATTATTGTCATTGCTTTCTATGTCTCCATGCTTACTTGTCATTTTTTATCTCATCCTGTAATAATAGTGAACTCGTGGTGGTATTTTTCTTAATAAAAAATTACGGCTGCTGATTATCTTTGTTAATAAAGTCACTGAACTGAAGTATTTAATTCGGGTTCATTAGTAGTGAATTCAGTTGCCCTGGAAATCATTTATATTCTTGTAAAATTACTAAGGCTCTCGTTACCAATCTTTAACAGATGTATCAAATCTTCTCTGTTTACAGGGACAAGCTTATCGAGCAGCTTTACAGGGAGATCAACGCCTTGAAAGAGGAGCTGGACACCCAACGGCTGGAGGTGCCGCGGCCTTAATTTCCATTTCACATCGCAATTCACGTTCATGAGCATTGTGTAAGGCTTCTTGTGAATCTCAAAGGCATTCGCACTGAGAGAGTCCCCTTCACCACGTTTACACTGCTCATTTAACCAGCAGCGTACACTCGTGCCTCTTCAGCAATCATTTTGTGACCACATTGAACTGAGGAACAGCCGCGGATTGTGCGTTAGGAAAACTGAATTAGCTACAGTGCTAAACTCTCCTATTTATACTATTATTAAAACCGATTGAGATAAATATATGCAATAGGTACGTTACAATAACGATACAAAATATGATTGCAGGAATGTGAAAACATGTCATTTGAATTTAGTAATTGACGAAATTCCATGTTAATTAATTTACTCATTGCGCTTGTGAGGGAGTTCGTTATTGCTGTGAAACCTATTCTCAGCTCGTCATTGAATTAGTACGTTTCTTAAATCCCCGCACCTTTATCCACCAAGCAGTATATATTCATATGCCACAGTAAGTCGATTTGCAGGGGACACGTGTGGTGTGGTAAAGTGTGGGTATCCCCACTTCCTTTAAGATGTTTGGTGGATGAATCGGCCACACAGCCTCGAGAGTGGCTCTCTAGAGCTCCCTCTCCTGGAGATCATTCTACCAGCAATGGCACGACCAGGAGGTTGCATAGCTGCGCCTTTACTGCTTACATGTTTCTGTGTGTGTTGGAAGGTATTGTATGAAGCAAGCCAGTCAACCCATGGTACCTGGGTCTGTCCCGTGACCTCCTGCCAGTGAGCCTTCAACACTGCATGTCACCGCCACTTAGTGGCGAATGGCGTTTGTTGTTGTACGAAGCAATACCGAGATCCTCGTGTTTCTCTGGCAGACGGAGCGTGTGGCGTCGGCCCTGCGTAGCCGACTTGGGGAGCTGGAGGCCGAGCTGGCGGAGGCACGGCACCTGCGCGGCCAGGCGTGGGACGAGACGGAGTTTCTGCGCACTGAGCTCGAGGACGTCAAACGGCGATCCGAGGACACGGAGAAAACCCAGAAGAGTCTCACTGAGATAGAGAGTCAGTGGGGCACGCGGGACAGACCGAGACACAGTTGTGGCGTGCGCGCACATTTGAGAATAAGAGAGATTGGTTTGGGGAAGTTGGACGAAACATTACCAAATGAATCATGAGAGCTCCACAACTACAAGACGATGCTAAATCTAGTGAACTTTTCTCTGTGCCTCCTAGAACGGGCGCAAGCGAATGAACAGCGCTACAACAAGCTGAAGGAGAAGTACACGGGACTGGTGCAGAACCACGCCGACTTATTGCGCAAGGTTCGACTTTTTCACACGTAGAACTTTTTACTTTCAAATTAACGTCTTTACCAAAGTGGTAACATACAGTTTTAAATTTATTTATTTTTCTTTCTCATAATGATTGGCGGAGTTGCCTTTTAAAACGGTCGGGAATTGCGATTGCTTGCATGATGTAAACACCGGTTGATGTAACAACGGTGCTCCGGTGCGGGACGCAGAATGCGGAGGTGGCTCGCCAGCTTACAACCGTGCGGCAGGCCAAGGAGGAGGCGGAGACTGCTCGGCAGCAGCTGCAGTCCTCCATGCAGAGCATCATGCACCGAGCAGAGGAGCAGGTGGGGAAAAAAAACTGTTATTGGTTGTGCTAAGGCACACACGTGCCACAGTACACTATAGTCATACTTCACATCTAGTAATTATCTAAAAGTACACATATGTTGAACTTGTTTTGCACCGTACGTAGCCAACCGTGCTAATTGGAGGTGCGGGGGAAGGACAACAAACTAAACACAAACAGGGTAGCGTCATAAGTTGTGTATGAGCTTCACTGGCGTCCTGTTAAACGCATTCTGTATAATCTTGCAGTCCTCTGTTCCAAAGCACACATTCTCGGTCAACCAACCTATTTAGCTTCTGCTGTCTGAACTTATGTTCTATCTCGCAACCTCCGATCTGCCTCGAGTGGCCCCCTTGTCAAGGCCGTTTCTAGAAGCAGACCAGGCAAACGTCTCTTATACGTCGGAGCTTCAGTCACCTGGAATTAATTTTCTCCTCTCTCACCGTGCACATCAGCGGCAGTGTCGACCTTTTGATATAATCTCGTATTTTTTCTGTAATTTATTCTCCCGTGCCTCCTGAATGTCCTTTTAAAGTTAAATTTGTGCATGTTACAAACTTAATAATTAATGAATGAGTCGATATATTTCCGTATTCAAATGAGCATGGAACAATTTTGCATACACAATAGCAATGTGCTCGATTGTATGATTGTTAGGTGGATAACGTTCAGTGTTGTATTAGCACTATAATATGCTCTTACCTACTTTTATTTTATTATTTTTGTCCTGGTCTGCCTTGAATAATTGTCCTCGGTATAGACACTCTTGAGGTGTTTTTACAGTTGTGTCCCTCCAACATATATCTTCAGTTCTTTAGTGAATTTGTTGTGCATTACTTTCTGTTTTACTCATTTTTTATCGAAAGCCCAAATCTTTAGCCTTCTTTATTAGATTGTCAGATTATTTTATATTATTTATTTTAATGTTATAACGACTGTGTCGTCAGAAACTCTGGGATGGATGATAATATCTCTATTTATGTTTATGCGTATAATTTTTTTTTAACACATCTTATTACATCGTTGTGAATAGCCTTGATCAGAGTGTATCTCCTTTCTTGTCTCCCCTTGTGACATGCATTTTTTGTTACTTTATACTTACACGTAGAGTATACCAGTAAAAATAATAGACGTGTTACATGCTTCATTTGATGTGTGTATTATCAGCATAATAGTATTTTAATCGGTGATCCGATGCCCCATTTATATATTTAATAATCAGTGTAGTTTGCATAAGTATGATAAACATGCACTTCTGGTACATATCCTACGTGTGTTGTACCTCGCACAGTATATTACAGAAGGTATAATACAGCCCCTCTGCTTCCAAGATTTCGATTTAAAGCTTTCGTGACTGCAGGGATTCATATTCTTGGTTCTTTCGGTATTTCCCTTCTACGTGACTTTACAGAAAGAACCAAGAATAGTAGTCCATAATACTCTCTAGAGGACCTCTCTGCGAGGTCCTTCTGCCAGCAGTGGCATGATAGAGCAATTGCAGGGCTACACCTTTACCTTAACCACTCACACTTCAGCATTCATTGCACACATACTCGTGCACAAGTATATTACTGTTCCATGCCTGTGTATGTTTGTGATAGGTTCGGAGTCAGAGCGAGGGCGTGGAACAGCTGCAGCAGGAGCTAGAGACGGGCAGGCAGGCGGTGGCCTCCCTGAAAGAGACGCTGCGCTCATCACAGGAGGCATGTGCTCCTAACAGCTGGCATCGCCGAACGCATACAACAAGGGAGGGTTTGCTGCAGAGTGATGGTTAGCACACTAGACTTGCAATAAAAATTCGCTGGGTCCAACCTCCCGGCACGGTAGTTGAAGCCATGGGCAAGTTTCCTCAACACCCCCCACTGTTGTCTTGTACCAGCAGTATGAATGGGTGCACCACCGTCGATTGCCAGTCAGATAAAACTGCCTCTTTGAGGGGTTTTCTAAGGCTCCCTCTCATGGGAGGCCCTTCCGCTAGCAGTGGCGTGAGCAAGCAATTTCAGGGCTGCACTTGTCACCCTTTTGCAGCTCAGCGTACAAGTCCATCTTCTTTATAGTAAAAAGAGTCAACTTATTTTGTGAAATTCAGGATCTCTCCAACTTTTTGACATCAGAATTCTGTGACAATCTCTTCTGTAAGATTAGGAGATGTTAACTACTTTTCCTCATTACAAATTAATACAAAATCTCCCACCTCAATATGCATGCTTGTTTAATCAACTAAATTGCCTTTTGGGTGTGATGGTTTTGCATGTTTGCCAATTCTGCTGCCTATTCTCACTTACATTTCCAAGTACACCCTTGAGACATATTCCTTGCAATGTAAATATGAAGAATCATAATTAATGTTTTCAACTAATTTCCGTAAAGTTTCTTATTAGTCATGGCCAATGTACAGTGTTAATTAAGAAGGCTGATATTAAATTCAATACAAAAGTGTGGATAGAGCGCAGAAACGTTTACTTTATCATGTAGAATTAGATACCACTATCAACTCTTGGATCGTGACATCGGGTAATGGTTATGACACTGGATTTGCAGCCTCGAGGTCACTGGTTCTATCTCCCAGTTTGGCAGTAGAAATAATTATTTATTTTCTTAAATGCCCCCACCACAATCCGCCCAGCAGTATTATAAATGGGTGCACCACAGATCGCTTGTAGTGGGGGGGTAAACTGTGGGTTTATGCATTTATTCCAAGCTGCCAGACCAGGGTTGAAAAGTAGACCACACACACTCAAGAGGAGATCTCTCGAGCTCTCTCTCTAGTGGAGGCCCTTCTGCCAGCAGTGGCATGGGCAATCATTTTCAGGGCTACATCTTATCCACCTTAATCTTATCTCGTTTTTGAACCGGTGGATAGTACAAATTACTCAATTAGAATATACATAGCGACCATTGCTCCCTACCGAAAACTCGGTAGGACCTTCCTGAAAAAGAGGCACGAGACTCAAGCGAGGCTTTCCTGGTTAAACAAGTGTGCTAGTAGTTATAATAGCAAGAATAAAAACCTGTTGTGGCTTACGGATTGGATGAAAAAAAATGTGATGGTATATAATGGCCCCCGTGTGCTGGCAGGCTAGCTCGGAACTGAGTGCCAGGCTGACGGCACTGGAAGCTGAGCGGGCAGATGTGGAACGCGTGTCAGGCGAGCGGGCGAGCGAGGTGCAGACCCTGCAGTCACGCCTGGACGAGACGCTGAGCACATCCAAGGCAGAGGCGGAACGCTCCGAGCAGGAACTGAGTGCACTGCAAAGCCAACTCTCCCACAAGGTGGTGCTTCTGCTCCACGGCTTGCTTGTCAGATGATGTGTAAGGGTGGATAAACATTTAAATAAATATATTGCGTTAAATTGCTGCCCCAGGTAAGTTTGCGCTGCCACGAAGAGCAGCTTTGTATGCGGTAATTATTTTTTCCCCCGGGACTTGAGGTACATAGGGTACGGTTTAAGGTCAGAAAGAAACAAAACAAAATTTACAAAATTTTGGTGGTGGAAAGCGCACGTGTACGAATTGTACATGAGATCTGTAAGTTGATCAAGCACAAAGTTATTATTTCACATTGGCATGCAATTATAAGATAAATATTGTTTTTATCCTCATTTTAAGTGCATTAATTTAATAATTCCATGCGACTGTGGAATAATGACATTGCCTCTTAACTGCATAGTGTGTAGCCATGGTGATCGCTTGCATTGCCATGGTGTGGTCTCTGTGCACTGGAGACAGTGCGCTCTCCACTGGCTGCTGGTGTCTCTCCTCTGACTCTATCCCTACCAGCAGATCAATTCTCTGTGGTTTGAATACATTAAACTAACTATTTTACCAGATAAGGCTCACTGAGCTATATAGCTCTTTTTCAGAAGCGACCTGGTCACAAATGATAGCTCAATGAAGTGGCTTATGTGGAAATGTATAGCAGCCAAATACTCCAGACACACGTTTCTAAACGGGGACAAAAAATCTGGAGGAGCTGAAGAAAATCCACGCGACTACGGGGAGAACATGCAAATGCCAAATATACAGGTGTCAGGGTTGGGATCAAACCCACCACCTGAAAACCAGGCGAGGAAGTTAACATCTCTCCACGGAGATGTCAACTATATATTTTTTAAATCAAATTTATTTTCTCTCATCTGAATAAACCAAACCCGATTATTGTATTTCTCTTTTATCTGGTATGGATACAGCTTTCTTGTATTAATGGCTATTCCATCATCACACATTTTGATCTCTGAATATTTGTTTTTTATCTAATCTGAATACATTTATTTGACATCTTGTTTGAAACATGTATTTTCAATATTTTTAAAATTATATCTCTCACCTGTCACTTCTTATCGTCTCACTAACTTTTCAAGCACACTAGAATACATCTCTTATTTCGTCACTCTCTTTTCTCTAATCTGAAGCAATCTCGTACTATTATCTCACCTTGCCTCTCTTAACTTTCACCTTTTCTAGAGCTCTCACATCTCTCGAGATCTCTGCCTTGGATACATCTTACCTAACTCCATGTCTGTATGTCTCAGCATAATACAATACCCATTTATATAAATGCGAGCGCATCTCAACATGCTGTACAGAAAACAATATAGTATTTATTTCACAGAGAGAATTGATCATAGGCAAAGGGAAAAAAAGGAAGGACGGTCCTGAGCCTGAACTTGGAACAGCAATGTGTTTATGTTGTAAGTGGGCATATCTCAATGCAGGCAACGGTACCGCGCTCGTTCATCTAAGCAAGAAAAAAGAGCTGCTCTACATGTAAGTTTTATAGCTCTCAGGAGAGCAACGACTCTGAATGAGTGCAGAACACTGAACTAACGAGGAGGGATGGCTCACTGCCACAGCTTCTTACTGTGCCAGTGTTTGTACAGTCAACTCTAGATTACATGGGGTAATTGTCGAGGGAGGAGTAGCCTTAATAGAATGAAAACACACCGAATACACAACATGCAAATTAGGTGATACAAATGCGCGTATTTTTACATGTGCATAATGGTAGTGAAGATATGTAATGTGTCATCTGGATGTTTGTTAAAGAAATCGGTCACGAGTCATGGGTGAGGCAGCTAAACATTTACCTGCTGTGTGCGTGTGCGTAAGAGGGATGCATTGCTTCTAAAACTAACACATTTTTGAAAGCACAATTAATTTTCATCCCAGCGTAGACATGGATATTTTAGAGTTAATGTATTAGGGGGTTATGGTTTTGCTTGCCTTCACGAGCCGATCCACCCAAGTGTTAAAGCCGCATGAACAGCACTTGGCTAAGAGTCCAAAATATTATTTGTTTGTCCTTACCGCCCATCATGACTGAACATTTTTCTCGTTCAAGTGTAGACATATTACTGTTTCTTTATCCCCAAGAATTTTGCTGATTAGCTCCCAAGGCAATTTTATGTTCGAAAAAAAAAGATAATGCCGCATTGAAGAGCTGTGCAATCTTTGAAAATATTTTCAATATTGAGTCTTAAGATGTGATGAACACAGCAGTCATCGGACGACGCAGATGTCGAGATCTTCGTCTGGTTGTAGTTGCTCGAAATAAGTTGTCTGCTTTCCTCGATCAGATCTTCGTAGCAAAAGTCTTTGGGATTCAGGTCACCTATCTGGTCTATTGCCCCGTGGACATGGCAGTGGGAGCGGACGGGCAGTGGATGACCAATTGACGGTGTCACGGTGCGAGACATTGGGTGTGGTGTCTTGAACAGCTGCAGTGAATGGAAGAGGTTGTGTGCCGCAATAGCCTCGCAGCCCTACTGCTTGCAGCCCAAAACGAGGTCCCATGCCCTTGTGGAGGTGCTCTGCAATGCGCTTGCTGCTGTGCGCGAATCCGCCAAATCTTTAGCACAACGAGGCGGCTCTGCATTATTAGCCCTGTTCTCCCACCCTGTCACACTCCCAAAGTCCAGATGGTGAACGTTGATGAGGAAACTAGTGTCCGTTTCATAAGATTCAGGATTGAGTTATTTGAAGTCTGGTACACCTTCCAAATTGTTTTTTTTTCCCGTGCCCTTGCAAACGTTGTTAAGCATGCTGTCTACATTGCCAAACTTTCCGTTTAGTAGTCACAGCATCCGTTGTTGTGCCACACATACAAAGTAAAAGAGAACATGGCCCTTGGATGAGGTAATGTCTGTCGTACAAAAGCTTGAGCTCGATTGACATTTTGCGGAAATATTGCCAAAACTATCTCACCTTTCTGGATTCAGAGCACCTAATGGACTGCCCAGGTCTCTAAGCTCCTGTGGATTGTCCAAGTCCAGTTCTTGGCTGGTGTCATCGGTGAGCATTCACGGAAAAACTGGCTACTTTGACAGGTCACTGCAGCTGCAGTCTGCAAGGTCGTTGAGTGCAACGGGTAGTCGTAGTTGGAAATGAAGCCCCTCTCCGCTGTGTGGTCCACCATGTGGTTGTCAATCCATGGGGAAATTTATTGTACCCCTCATATCTGTCTTTTCTGTGGTAAATCTTCAGCGGTTGATCCATATATGTGTTTGGGCCACGTGGTAGTTTTATGCCAAAACACTTGTCAATTACCCTCCATCACCAAACAAGCTTGTCATGTTTACACAGACATTAATACGTGCCAATGCATTGATTGAATTCATTAATTCAACACGCATAGTCAGCGAAGGACCATTGCGCCAAGCGTGTGACCTCTTGTGACAACATTCGCATGAACTGCTCTTGCTGCCGTACACCAACGTGTCTTGAGTGATTTGTTTGATTCACGGGGGAGGGGGGGGGCGACCACGGGGGCACTTCGAACGCCAACCGCCAACTGCAGTGCGCAATGTGCTGGCATTTGCGCATCAAGACGGGCAACGTGTCCAGAAAGTGACAACCGGCTCTCTCGAACTGAGCTCTCGATCGCTAGGAGACCGGTCGTAGATGCAATGGTGACATTTCCTGACGAAGTCGAGACAAGAAGGCGTCTTTGGCATCACATGTGAAAGGACTGCAGCCGATCCTAAATCGGCTTGAAGCAATGTTCAGACCTCCGCACCGTAAAACAATACTGACCAACAATGATCACTGGTGGCTTCAGACTTTCGTGATTTAATTCACATCAGCATGCATATGTTGAGTCATGAAAAGTCTAAATATAGATTATTGTATTAGCTATGGTGTAGGACGCCCTTAAAATAGAGCCCAACAGCTTATTGGGCCCTTCCTGTTGAAATAAATAAAGTCTCATCTAAATCTAATCTAAGAAAACCCACTGTTTTAAGTTATCTTACTTACATGTCTGAGCCAAAATAATTGTCTATTATGTTTTATTTTTTTATTATGTTTTATTTTTATTATTTTATTACTTCCCTTCTACGTGACTTTACCGAAAGAACCAAGAAGATGAATCCCTGCAGTCACGAAAGCTTTAAATCGAAATTTATACAAAACAACTCAAGTCCATGCCAGCGTTTGAACATTCGCCGTATTTCTTTGAGATTCATCTTCAAAATGGAGACCTGGGACAGAGTTGAGCAGCTGGAAGTAAAAGTGTAACTCTTAGACGAATGTGGCTGGGAGTTGCTGTCCATATCATTAACTCTTCTCTACACATGCTGTCTCGCCCGCAAAGTTCTGCCTGGATTTGTTGAATGAGATCCTGGTGGGTCTTGACTGCAATATAGTCATCATCATTGCGGCTTGATCTGCAAGCTTTTTCCAGTGTGATGCTTGGTTCAGCCGATGTATTGCATGCAATATATCCTCAGGGTTTCCGTGCTCAAAATATAACTCTTGGCTTTTATGTAATCTCATTGCCCTTCTTGATTACAAAGACCTGCTTACAAACCTTACAGCCAGACTCCTTGGTTTATCAGTGAGTCATATTTACACATAAGCTAATTTCTTCAATTTGGAAAATTTAAGTGTTGGCCACTTTAGTGCCCTCTGGCTTTAAAATAATTTTTTTTACACAATTATGGTTATAAACTTGCAGAGGACTTTTGGCAGTACTTTACTGTGTACTCTAACTGTATTAAGGTTAATCTAGAATGGGATTAAGGTGACTGTGTGAATACCGTTGACACGTGTGAGCATGAGTGACAATTACCACTTAATACTGTGCACCCTTTTAATGATACACAGTAATTCAACAGGTGATTTATGTCATGGTCAAATCATATGTACAATTGTGCACTTAGCACTTGAACTAATTTTCTTGCACGCATCTGTGTTCTCTTCACGATGGTATATTTTTCTCGTTCACATCTTTGTTGCAATGGTTTCCCCAGTGTCTTCTCACATTGGCTTGTCTCACTATATCTCTGTGTTTTCTGCCATCTTCTTCTCAGCTGACTTCATTTCTCTTCCATCTTTTATTTCTTCTAGTCCCTTGGCCTTTTGGGCCTATTGGGACATGACCATTTCCTTTTCCAATATCTCCTTGCACTGCCCTCTCAACTCCTCTCTATCCGTGGCTGTATTTTTCAACAGATAGAGCTTCCATCCCGTCCGATGTTTCATATTGGACGTCCAATCAGATCGAGGTCTTTCTCTTCTCCGAGCACCTTCCAGTATTCCCGCTATCACAATTCTTTGCAGCCAGTCACCATTCATCTTAGTCACGTTTTTTTCCCATCTGGCTTATATTTTACGATATTGCACGTAAAAAAACGATGCTTTTTGCTTCCAGCTCTAGGTAGACAAATTAGGTATTCTGTGTTCACTTGTACAGCTAAAAAGTTATATGCAGTGCACCCCAACGGTTAAGCACATTAATGGTTTAATTTAATTTTGTGAGCACAAGGTTCCAGAACATTAATCAATTTAAAATATATGGTTCTTCGATGACTATGCACAAGTAAAATATTGTTTAAAAGAACAACTAATTTGTCAGGAGAGTGATGATGCAGTGGTTAATGCAGTGCATTATGACCTTGGCCATCTGAGTTAAATTCCTGGCAACTGACCAGTTTGATGAGATATGCTCAACCACCCCCATGACCGAAATGGCATGTTGTGCCTTAATCCAGCAGTGAATTGACAGAGGGCTATGTAAGACCTTATCCGTGTAATTGTGTGTGCATTTGTGCTTACTATTGCCAGATGCGTCTTGTGTGCCTGCGTGCTCACTGCTAGTTGCCAAGAGGCATCGTTGACCTAAGTGTTATGTTTGTGCTGCTGCGAAGGTTGAGCAGGAGAGCATGCTGAAGGCCCAGTTGCTGGCTGACCAGAAGGCCCTGCTTGACTGTGCTATGGCGGAGGCAGAGCACATGGTGCAGAGTGCTTTGGAGCAGCTGGATGACCCTGCACATATGGGCTGCACAGCCTCACCTGGTACGAGAGCAAATACACGGTTCTCCACAGCCTCATCAATGCAAGAGCCCACCCGTAGACCTGTAACAATGCATCAATTGAACAGTCGATTAAAATAGATTGTTACGCTCAAGATAAATGCTTTTAATTGCATGTGTAAGAATATATTTTTATTTGATTCTTTCGGTAAAGTCACGTAGAAAGAGAAAATTATAAATTAAATAATAGCATACGACGTTTCGATCGCAACACACGCAATCATCATCAGGTACAAATGAAAGAGAAAACAAACATAGTAAACTTAGAAATATAATGCAATACAACACACAGAGTCGGCTAACAACATTCAACACCCTACCTGGTTGATTACGTTCTTCCAAAGATTGCTAAATTTGAGAGAGAGACAAAACACAGATACACAGACAGACACCCATGCTGCTGTGAGGTGCACTATTCACTACAATATAAAAAAAACGTGAAACAACAACACAAATAATGAGTTTACCGAGGGATGGCTAATAGTTACATTACCCACACAGACGACATGGCCTTGCCTGGAAACAGAAACCAAAAATGTTTCCATTTATTTTGAAAATTATACAATAAATGTTCGTATACTGTACCGTATTTAATAGATGTGATAATTCGACCAGATAGTGATTCAAATAATTGTCACGAAAATTCATCCCTGTGAATGGGTGCATAATAAACACAATGATGTTCTAGAGGAGCTAGTTGGCTGAAAACTGTGACAAATAAAGTTGATTTGATTCCGATGAGTAAAAAATATCTTTACAAACTAAAATTTGTGCCTAAAGATTAGATGCCAAACTTTAAAATTGTGTTTGTTTGGACTTAGGTCTATGAAAGTTTTCACTGTACTGTATATGGAAGTTTCAAAGAGTGGGCACTGAATAAAAATGACATACGTTTCCAATTTTAGGCTTCCAAAAAATGGGGGTGTAATATTTCGTAATATGTTTTTGTTATTCATTCTAGGCCTGTGAGAGGTCATGTCCGGAGGTTTTGAAGGGTGTGGATATTTAAAGATGATATCATATTATGGACAACTTCAAGTTTTGTGTACTTTTTTTAAGTGCGTGAAACTAAAACCAATTTTAAGTAGGAGAATCTTGCTATTGATTGCTCGTATATGTTTATCTTTATTTAGATTTGTTTTCCAGATGGCCATGGTCTACAATTATTTTTCAATTGAATATTCATTAATAATATTGCAAGAAGCAGGTGGCTTTATTCATGATCTTTGGAATTCACAGTTTCCTCTGCAATATTTAACCTTTTCCAAGGCACTACAGTAGAATAATGTTTCCATATAATCCACACTGTTTTAGGGCTGATAATATTCGTCATTCAAATCGCTTCAAAGGTATGTAATTTATAGATGAATGTGCAACAGCTCCTCAGGATGTATTGTATTCATGCTATTAAAATATATTCCATCTTGTCTTAAATTCGAGTATCCATTATACGTGATTAATTGCTGCAGTCTAAACATTGTAGTCTTTGTAATTGCTTAAATGTAGATTTAACTAAAGATACATTGCAACCCAAATGTTGTACACTTGGACATGATGAATACATGTTAGTGATGTCTTAAGGGAATGTGATGTTATAATTAAGACATAAGCAAATCTTATGGGATAAAGTGTGATAAAAACGTGTCTCGTAATGCTTTTTACTTCTATAATGCAAGTGATGAAAAGCCCTCAGGTGGGTGTAAGTAAATATTGACAGTGTAAAACAAATGTTTAACTATTGCTCACCCAGGTCCAGGAAGTGATAGTGACACTTGTGAACGATTGGTGTACGTAGGTAAAAAATAAATAAAATAAATTAAAACAACTCAATTAAATCACATATATGAAAACAACTAAGTTAAATCAGTGATTTAATTTAGTTGTTTTCATTTATTTTATTTTTTACCTATGTGACTTTACCGAAAAAAACAAAGAGTATGAATCCTTGCAATCACGAAAGCTGCAAATCTAGGATTGGTGTAAGGTTTTATTGTTATGCCATATCTATATTTCTTCAGGCATTTTAGTATAGCTATATCACTATAGCTATATCACTATACATTTGACTAAATGGGGGATTGTTGCATTATTTAATGCACAATGTGTATTTCAGTAAAAGTGTGTATATATTATGTAGTTGGAACATATGCTCGTTCATCAGTCCAAATGAGAAGCAAAAGCAGTGCAATTACTAATTATAATTATTAACGTCTCTTACATTTCAGATTACTTGATCTCGCGAGCGCAGTGTGGTGTGGACAGCACGGATCGGCTCAAGGAAGGGCATTCACAGTTCTTGGCCGACAGCCATGGTGAGATCATGCATTGTCCTGTGCCATGCAGCAGGTACACTCACGGAATGCACAGATGTCCCCTTTTTATATAGACGTTAACTTTTGTTGGCTTGGAGTTGAAAAAGATGTGCTGTATTGCAGACGCAAGCGGGCTACTGGGCAGCGTGGCAGCGTTTGCGCACGTGGTGAGCGACGTTATAGTGCAAGGCACCGCCACTTCCCACGCGTCCCCCATTGACCAAGCCGACAGTGAGTAGTGGCACACGAACACCGCTATAAGTCTGCATGCCCACTCACACCACCTACACTGGCAGCGGTTACAGGGTTCACTATTCCAATGAAAACGTATACCGCCTTCCCCACTCTTCTTCCCCCCCCCCCGCTTCCATTAAACACTTTTCACTCGCATTTATCAAAGAGCATCTTCGTTTGCCTATTCATGTTGATGTTCAATTTCTATCACTTTGGGTGATTTTTAATCAAGTTCTTCTGTACCAGCATTACTGACAGCTGATGGAAATTGTGTTCAGCTACACTATGAAGGCTTGTCTCCGGTTGACATTGTTGTGTTGTATTTTTGCTATTAAACGGGGTATATTTACCATGCTGTGAAATCGTTAATATATAAAAAATATATTTTTTAAGTGAAATACCTATGGTCATTGATAGCGATTAACTTTTATTACTGCTGTTCATGAAATAACTCCATATAAACACAATTCTATCCCTCCTAAAAGACAGCTTGAGCTCTCATGGGAAAGCATTGCAATTTGCCACGGAATTTATCATGGGAAATGGCAAACAACCTGAATACCCTACATTTGCAACATTTAACAGGAAACAATAAGCAAAACATATATTGTGACTGCATTCTTTGGCGATATATTAAATTAAGTATTCCGTGCATTACTTCTTAGACACTTATGTAATGCTGTTTTGTGGCTTTGTTCATGCAGAAGATATGGTTTTAGCAAAACTTCTAAAGGTCGACGGTCATGTTAATTTCGTTTGTCTGGCGAGGCTATGTTTGTATCGTACGTGTTTCACAGACACTGCCATGTCAGTCCCTTGATTTGGCCCCTTTATTAAACGTCTGTCATGGTACACATGAGACTGCCTTCCCACTGCCTCCAGTTCCAGTTTTATCTTTCTCTGATACCCACATACATGAACCCAAGGTTATCTCTAATGTTTTACAGCATGCTGATACAACACTCTCTCCATTTTGTGCTTCTCTTTCATTGGAATCCTTGTGGTGAAAAGAGCCACTTAATTTGGCTGAAATTAAAGTGGGCCTTGGAATAATTAACATTTTTAAAAAAACCTGCACAATAATGTGCAAATGTATCTGTCTGATATTTAGGAAGATTGACTGGAGCCTGAGTGTTGAAATTTAATAGCGTTTTAGTGCAGTTTTAGAGCTGGTTGTAAACAGTGATTCATGCTTATATTTTTTTGCGGTTCGTGCGAATCACTTTCCCGTTACTTTTGTGTCGCATAGTGTCGGATCAGCTTATTGCTCTGCATGGTGGCTCTTTCCTGCACTTGAATGGTTCGAGTATCTTCTGCCTCGGATGTTTCCTAAGACATATTCTGGCAACACAAGTCCTATGATTGTTTTAGCTGCAACATGTTGTACTGGGCTGTGCCTATTTTGTGACAATGCAGAATAAAAGCGTAAATAATTAATTATATACGAGGCACTTCCAGTTACAAAGAGAAAATTATAGCTATGCAAATTGAATATTGTATAACCAAAGCACTATGACATTTTAAATGATATATTTTGTGTAAATGGAAAATCATAACGCAATGGTATTCACTTTACATTTAATCAAAATGATGGGCCTCCACACACCATTCCTGTTGCAGACATTTATGTTATTAATGCAACAACTGTACCCATAGCAGTAGTTAAATGCATCGGTATTTGGCAATAAAAAGCACCATATATTGAGTGAACTAAACTGTTTGAATATATAAGCTTGAAATATCAAGGTAAGATTCCTATATTTTCTGTCCGAAGGCAGATTATTTGTTGCATTGTTCCGATTTGACAATTTTCCACATGTGCGCGCACTCGTCGTCTTCATGTCCTAGAACTGTCGGACTTGTGTCGCCACTGTGGAACACAAGCGCTGACATTCCTCGGCTCCCTGAAGGACTCTGCATCTCCCAAGGAGGCCAGTCCAACCCACACAAGAGAAGCCCTGCTTGCTATTCTCGCCATTGCACAGGTGCTTTCCCTGCCACTACATTCCTACGTTATTGTTCCCTCGTGCATGATTTATAATAACATAGGTTTGTTCACAAATCAGTTATTTACTCTCTTCCTGAACTCGTCTTTCTAGACGCTATGTTTTTTTTTGCCAAGCCATTGCTAATGTCAGATATATTTAAAACTATTTTATTTTGAGGTGGCTTTTGGTGACTTAGAGGTCAGAACGCTGAGCCAACACTGCTGAGAATTCTGGGTTCTAAATTCGAGTTTCAGCCACCCGTGATTAAAGCAGGTTCTCAATTATATTGAGTTGCTAATCTTAAGATGGTCATTGATTACTGCAAAGAAAACCACATTCTCTGTTTTTTTTATTTTCACTAAACTCTTGTTCTGAGAATTACAAAGTAATGTTTTAATGCCATGGGATGAAATTTATTTGTCGCGGGGCATTTCGGAAAGTGTAATGTGCCAAGGGTGAAAGAAAAAATAATTTCAGAACATGGGGGTTTGTGTTAATTCTGAAGGGATACTTTATCTCAATGTGATATGACACCAATAGCAAAATTGTAATACTACTGTGAAAAGGGAAAAAAAACCCATAATATATTTAAGTGCATTATTCAAATGTTCACACATCCACACTGCACTAGCCTAAATCAAGGCTACGTCTTGTCAATTTTACTCAGAAGCAGGGTTAGAAACCCAGCAGCCTCGATTTTGATCCCTTGCTGGCCAGTTGATTTGTGGCATAAAAAGTTGCCTCGCATACATCCAAACTGGCAGACTGCACAAAACCAGTGGTGGTTCTGACAGAATAAAATTCCACAAACATTTTACGTAGAAGCCAGTTGACTGTGAGTGGCAGTCATATTCATAACTATTTTTAATAACGCTCCCTTGAAAAGATGTGTGCAGTAGGGAAATGTGTTTTTTTGTGTCAGCGTGAAGGGCATTCACATTCTCTTAGGTTTCAACTACCTTCTCGCTGTTAAAAAAATGTGAATATCCTGATGCATTGCACTTTTCCATTCTGCAAGTGACATTCTCACTTGAAGCTGCACTTACACAAAAATGAGTGACCGAGTAAAACATCCAAGAAGAGAACATTATTATACTCATTGGTTCTTTCGGTAAAGTCACGTATGTAGAAATAAAATAGTATAAAAAATAAAATGTAAATAAATCACGACGTTTCGAATGCAACACAAGCGCTTGTCCTCTGCTGAAAATGTCGTAAACCACACAGCGAGAGAACACACAGAGGGACATCACGTGACACAGAGCACACCGAGAACGGCAAACTGCACGGAGACAAATACAGCAAGAAGATGGGAGGCGCGAACTCGGCAAACCTTAGAAATATATTGCGATGCAACCCAGTCGGCCAACAACACAGTTAGACACTAAACCTGATTGACCACGTATTTCAAAAGGCTGCTAAATCTTGTGTTCATCTTCTAGGTTGAACACACAACGTAAACAGAGGATAAGGACTCGTAAACATACACGAGGTACAAGGTAGCAGAGATACATACCCAGAGAATACACATAGGGAAAGGTGTTTTGGGCAGTGCAGAGGGACACAACGAGCAACACCACACCAAGAGACACACACATGGAGAGGCACACACAGGAAGACGACCGGAGGGATAACAGTAAGGGACTTATATAGGCTGTAGAGGTGGGGGAAGGGAAGGGTAACCGTGCATGGACATGCAAATACAAATGCAGGCAACAAATCGGGGGAAACACATGGGAAAACGAAAACGGAGAAAGCACATGGGAAACAGACGAAAATGGAGGCACCAACCACGGTAAACGAAAACGAAGCAAAATTACAACAAGTAAAAGATACATACACCAAGAAGACAACACAGGGAAATATATTTTAGAGATAATTGTAAGGACAACCTCCCCGTAGAGGTAGAATAATCTAGGATTTAAGCTTTGGTGACTGCAGGAATTACTATCCTGTTGTTGTTGGCCGACTGGGTTGCATCGGATTATATTTCTACGGTTTGCCGAGTTCACGCCTCCCATCTTCTTGCTGTATTTGCCTCCGTGCAGTTTGCCGTTCTCGGTGTGCTCTGTGTCACGTGATGTCCCTCTGTGTGTTCCCTCGCTGTGTGGTTTACGACATTTTCACCGGAGGACGAGCGCTTGTGTTGCGTTAGAAACGTCGTGATTTATTTAAATTGTATTTTTATTTTATTTCTACATACGTGACTTTACCGAAAGAACCAATGAGTATAGTAATTCTTGCAGTCACGAAAGCTTCAGTCATAGATTAAGGGAACATTATGTTGTCATTCATAACTTAAATTTGCATAATTAATTAGGTGGTGTGTTTTGCAGAAATGTATTTAAATTTGTTTGCTTTATATAGCAGTGACTAGGGATGGTTCGCACACTGGACTTGTAATTTAGAGGTTGCCTGTTTGTTCTCCTAGTTGAATCAATGAGCAAGTTTTTCAAATTCTACTACCTCTGTCAACCCATGAGAATAAATCAACACGCCACAAAATAACTGCATAGTGTCAAAGAGTAAGCCAAAATACGCCGTTAATAGGCTCTCTGGAGCTCCTTCTAGTGAAGGCCCTTCTGCCAGCAGTGGCATGAATAAGTAATTGCAGGTCTGCACCTTCACCTGTACCTTGCCACAAATGAAGCACAATACCTTGCTGATCTCGTCAAGGAGCGTAAACAAACACACAAACTACGGTCATCCTCGCAGCGGCTTTTGGATAGCCATCGAACAAAGACCGTTACACCAGTGCACGCTTTCAGATGCACTTCTGGGTCCGTCTGGAACGCTCTTCCTTCTGATATTAGGAAGCCACTGGAACTAGATTTAAAACTAATTTCTTTAGAACTGATTTTTGTGTTTAGTTTGTTGTCCTTCCCTGCACCTCTGATTAGCACCGTTGGCTACGTACAGTGCGAAAGAAGTTCAACATACATGCATACAGGAATTTTTTGGGAAGAGGACAGTTTTTTGTTAATGTCATGGTCAGCCTTTATCCCTCCCTCCCTCCCTCCCTCCCTCTGTCCCTCCCTCCCTCCCTCCCCTCTAGGAGCTGCGTCCACGAGGCTTGGACGTGAAGCCAGGGGAGCTGGGAGACCTCGTGGAGCAGGAGATGGCTGCGACGGCGGCTGCCATCGAGGACGCCGCCGCACGGATAGAGGTGACGGCCAGCGTGTCCACCTCGAGCAGACGACGGAGCTCGCCTCATGGCCATGCAGATACAGATACACCATGGGCGCCACGGTGGCAAAATGTTAACTACCTCGCCTGGTATATAGGAGGTTGTAGGTTTGCTCCTGATCCTGACGCTTGTTATATATTTGGAGTTTGCATGTTCTCCCTGTGGACATGTGGATTTTTCTCTGGGTCATCCGGTTTTTCCCTCCACATAGAGAAACATGCATTCAGAGTATTTGGCTGCTATACATTTTTGTATGATAACACGCTTTGTTGAGCTATCATTTGTGGCCTGGTCACTTCTGAAAAAGAGATATATATATCTCAGTGGGCCTTACCTGGTAAAATAAAAATTTTGTTTTAGTTTAAATTCTATATCTTGGCTGCTAGGGATGGACCGATTCACCCTTCATCAATTTGAATGAGAGTTGTGATTCAATTGAGTAATCAATGTTTTTTTTTACAATTCGGTGAATGGTAGTGCCTCTTGTGACTGCCGGGGTGACATTGTGAATAATGAACAAAACATCTATTCTCACGCAATTTGATGCATGTATCGTGAGTTTGTAAATTGATATTAATCAATGCTCACATTAATGTATTTGATAAAGCCACGTTGGTCTAACAGTGCTGGTGTTCAGGATCGTACCATTTAATAATTGTGTTGTTTGCAGGATATGTTGAGCAAGGCACGGGCGGAGGAGAGGGGAGTAAAGTTGGAAGTGAATGAAAGGTTCGTAAGTAGCGCAAGTATGAGGTTGATATTGGCAGAGTGCTGTTCTACACTTTCATTGGAAAAATACATAAATCTGCTGAACAGCTTTGGCTTTGGAACTACAGGTCCATGCAGATGGTCAGGAATAGTATGAATAGTCCCTTACATTTACCCTGAAAGCCTTACTGGGTCGCAATACTCTTCTTTTAAGGAGGGTCTTGCATTGGGATGTTTGGCCAATTCGATTAGTGCATGGTATGTGAGAGGAAATTTGAGTACCTGAAGGAAATCTGCACATATGGATTGGTCACATGAAAAGCATGCAAATCACCCCACAGATGGATACAATAATCTATAGCTACACTATCATTCCCTGCCACCAGTATATATACTGTATGTTAATTGCATGAACGTAATCAATTCAATCTCTCTTATTATTTGGCCGGATGGCAAAGCAATTCTCGCAATCACAAGGTTGAAATGTTACATTCTGGTGAGAAGCTGACTTTCCTCTATTTTGATAAAGAGTACCACGTGTGGGAAATCAACAGCTATCATCCTACGGGGAGAGACCGGACCCCACCAGAGGAACAGAGAGTTTTTTTGCGTGTGTTTTAATCACTGGCTTGGGGCCACCAACAGAGAGATGACCATCTTTAAACGCTCATTGAGCTGCTCTGGCAGCATGGCTGTGAATATTGGCTAAATATATCTACTGTACACTGTATATCCTCCATCTGGGCATTTTTTCTGCACTAAACCAAATACATCCAGCACCAGTGGCTTGTATAATTAATTGCTGAGCTTACCGATGTTGCACAACGATTATTTCATTTTAATGCACATTCTTTTGGGATAGTCCGAGTGTGGACAGGCTTAGTCTCCTTCTTAACAACGTGAACCCTGGCAGTGAGGTGACGGAGTAAGTCTGCTTGCTGTGTGCCTTCTGGAGTTAATGCACTCAGCTGTGTAGGGTGCAGTGTGTTCAGCAAGCATGAGAGTGACCATTTTGGATATGTTTTTCTCCTTAGCTCAATATGCATGGACTTTTTCAAGCCTGTCTTAAATCCCACGACTCCCCTAATAGCAGTACACTCCATGCAGAAAACCAATGTCTTGTAGAGACACTAACAGTCAGCTTCACTCGGAAATATAGGAGGTTACATGCCTCTCTAACCTGTCCAGGCTTAAGATCTTCCTTTTCTGTTTTGCTTTTGACTGTTGACCTCTCCAGTAACACCCTCCCCCAATTCTTAATATCTCTGTTGTTCCACCCATCCCCAACCCCGCACCCTGTATGCCATTTCGTGACGGGGTCACGTGTATGTATCTTGAACTTCTTTCGCACCGTACGCGGCCAACCGTGGTTGCGTTTCTTAGTGTGACTTTGATGGCTTTCCAAAAATGACGCCTGGATGGGGCTATTCAAAATAATATTTCAGTCAGATATAATTATTTAAACATTTGAATGTATACACTGTAGCATCTTAATACTTGAGTGTCCGAGAATGCTGTATGGAGCAAGCGTCGACAAAACATCATGGGGGACCTCCTTTGCCAGTACCAAAATATGAGAATAGGTTTTCCCCTTTTTTCTGGCAACAAAACAGGTGTTGAGATATTAAAACACCAAACTGAAACCTTTTACAAGGAATCATGTCTGCATTAACCACAATACTTGTGGTCAGAATGCAAACAAAAAACGTACTTTGATAAAAAAAAATGCATTGTCTTTGAAACTGATTATCAGAGCATGTTTTTTGTTTTCATTCTGACCACAAGTATTGTGCTTAATGCAGACATGATTCCTTGTAAAAGGTTTCAGTTTGGTGTTTTAACATCTCAACACCTGTTTTGCTGCCAGAAAAAAAGGGGAAAACCTATTTTCGTATACAAAACATTGCACTTTTATACAATATAAATCCTAAAGCAAAATCAAAGGATGTGTTCTTTTTAATTATAGAGATGCGAAGGAACGTGTTTAATCTGGATTGAAAAAGGAGATAATTTGCAGTGCTGCCAAGTATGAGGACAGCATTGCAAGCATCAGGGGCAGCCAAAGAGAAGGAGTGACCTTCGACAGTTTGAATAGTGCATATCTCTCTACCCATGTGCACACCTTTGTCATAATAGAGTACACACACTTTCAGAATTTTTATATTTCTGATACTTGGTAAGCAAAGAAACCGCATATTCAATATTATCCGTCACTTTTCAGATAATCTGTTCATGGAAACACATTTGGGTTTTTTTGGGGCAGGGAATTATTTACAAGCATAAAATATACCACAGTGATATATAATATAAACCCATGTTGGTCATGCTGTGATCAGTCACCAGGTTACACCCCAGACTGTTGGATATAATTGCATTTAGAATTAGTCGATTTATGAGATAAAATCAGCAAATATCACTCCGCCTGAGAACGTTTTCACATTATCCCTTGGCAATTGAAATCTTGAATCTTAAATTTTCTGATTTCCTTCCATTAAATGGAACATTGGGGACAACCTAACCTCAGGAGGCAATGTGAATGTTTAAGGCATACATATTTAGCATGGTAATATTGGCTTCATTGAAAGCCCCATGGGTGAACTTCTTCATAAATAATATAGTCCCCATTTAGTATGTTCCTAACCCAAACACTGAAATAGCACTCAGCACAGTTGTTAATGGAAGTAAGCAAAATACTTTACAGCGCTTAAAAGCCCAATGAACTAGCTATGTTCTTTGTGCGGATGAAAATGTAAAATTGATGATGGCAAAATGTTATAAAACAAGTCCCCATCCTTGAAATGCAATGTTTCAACACATTTCTGAGTTTTGGCCGTGATGATATTAAGCAATACAATCTCTATGTGCAATACATGATCGTGCTTTTATGCATGTCACATGTTAGAGTAAAATACCAATTGGGAATTGTGATATAAATTCTGGTGTTTAAATGCTTGTGTAAGCATCTCTTTTTTTCTGTCCTGACGTTACCATCCATCATTTTAGATCATCTGTCAGTCTTCTTTTCCCAAGCAGTCCTATCTTTTGTTTTGTTACTTTATTTGCTGAAGGAAACTTTCCGTTGTAGTGCGATGCTGACCAGCAACTTCTGCTTATCATTATCGAGTCTCTCAGCGCCATTGGAACTCCCTGTTGGAACGCTTGTTGTGTGCAGTTGTCAGTCATATTATCAAGTGCTCCTGAAAGCACAAGAAACTATCTCTACTCTCAGCTATTCAACATTATTTACTTGTTGATATATATATGTGCACAATATATATTGCACACGTCTTTTTTGAGATTCAGTTTTTGAAACGGTATCTTGCCCATTGAAGACCATCTATATTATTGAAATAAAATATGCATATTTTGCTCTTCTGCTGTAGCAGTCGGTAATTGAGGGATAAAACATAAAAGTAAGATGGAGACAGTTTCAAATAATCATAAACAATACTTTTGTTGGGTAATTTTTCAAAATGAGATCTGTAAATTTGATGTCTCTGGCTTCCTCAAAAAGTATGCAGCCATGCAGCAGTACGATTCATGTCTACACATGTACCCTCATCCTATGGAGACTTCTGCCTGAGAAGGGTTCCATGGTAGTGAGATGTGAACTACCTTGCCTGGTATACAGGAGGTTGTGGTTTCGATCCAGACACTGACGCCTGTATATTTGGAGTTTGCATGTTCTCTCCGTGGTGGCGTGGATTTTCTCCAGGGTCCTCCGGGTTTTCCCTCCATCTTTAGAAATATGCTTTTCGAGTATTTGGCTGCTATAACAATAAGCCACTTGGTTGAGCTATTATTTGTGGCCAGGTCACTTCTGAAAAAGAGCTATATAGCTCAGTGGGTCTGAGCTGGTAAAATAAAAAATACTCTTTGGTTTTTTCGGTAAAGTCACGTAGGTAAAAAAAGAAAGAAAAATAAATTAAATCACGACGTATCCAGTTTACTGTTTAATTCTGTACCCAGTGGGTACAGTAGTTTTGCTGTGACGGTGCCACCTGAAGACGGAAGCTTGTGTTGCCTCCGAAACGTCGTGATTTAATTTGTTTTTATTTTCCTTTTTACCTACGTGACTTTACGGAAAAAAACAAAGAGTATGGACCCTTCCAGTCACGAAAACTTCAAATCTAAAATAAACAATAGTTCATAGTTTAGTTCCAGGTGGCTTTATTCTCCTATGGCTACATTATAAAGCTTTCGTGCAAAGATGGTTGAACAATGTTTACTCCTTGGGCACACTATATGCATTCCAGCCAATACTTATCCCCACTGCGATAACGTTGTGTACTGTCTAGCCTAATTACAAATGATCGCGTAATAAATAGTCACCCTGCAGTGCAATTTTGAAAAGTGCGTGCATGCTGTTCTTGCATTACAAGCTTACATCTTGCACACAGTGTAGATAATTGTATGATCACAAAGACACAATTTGTCTTGCGCATGTTAACTGTTAATCTGACACGACACTAATTATCCAGTTTCCATAAGGTAGGTAGGTGAATATTTAGGATTTCTCTGGGTTAATAGCATTGTTTTGAAGTTACACGATGAGTGAATATGAATATCAATTACCCTGCATCAATGGCACTCTTTTCGTGAAGTACATTATAGTTACAAAAAAATGTGGTTATTGAAAGGATCAATTTATTAACGGAAGAATGCTTTGTTTAATACAAATAGAATTCCTGTTTCTGTCAATTAAGTAATGCACTATCATCCAATGGCCATTAAATGTAAACGTTTGAAACCGTTTAACATTTTTGTGCATGTTTTCAAAGAAAGAGAGGGTGTTTAATATATTGCCAGTTTTGCCTCTGGTTTGAAAATGACACCCTACTCCTTCAACGGACATTTTCATACTATGTTAGAAACATTCATAATAAAGTTTTTTTTTGGGTTCGATAGCGTAAGTATAAATGTGATAATTGGTTTTTTACCCTTCTATCTGGCAACTAAAAAAAAGGTGTCAGTTTTGTTGCCAGATAGAAGGGTAAAAAACCAAATATATTTTTTACTGGCAAATGAGGTTCCAATGAAGTATAAATGTGTCGAAACCCTCCACCACCCGACAAGGTCAATCAGTAAGGGATTTGGCAAAAAGACAAATAGTTAATACTTCAGCACAAAGGTGTGTTGGAGGAGTGAAGCCACAATTGTAAATGTTGCGGATTCAGTCTTCAACACACCTTTGGGCTGATGCATTAACTATTTGTCTTTTTGTTTACGTGCCAAATCCCTTACTAAATGGCTTTGCCGGGCGGTGGAGGGTTTCGACACATTTTTATACTTACGCGATCTAACCCAAAAAAAAACTTTATTATGAATAATATTGGTCGCGAAAGCCTACGTGTTAAATGTTTGAAACATGTTTTTTCTCGCTGGTGTGCCTGGTGGGTAAGTGCACGTGGCCGGTGGCGACAGCACTGCACACATCTGTGTGATGACGTCGCACCCCCAACCCTCTACCCGAGCTGTGTATCCTACGCAAAGGCGTGGGATACACCACCATACTTTAATTCTATTATATGAGAATAAAAACAATTCCGACTGGCTGGAGGGAAGGATGGACGGTCAAATTCAAGGGGCTTGTGAGTTGCTGGTAATATATTACACTCCTTTTGAACATTAACGGATAGCAATTGAGCCACCTGTCATTTTTGTAACGTTTATAATACTTTCTTCATTGCAACAGGCATTTTTCGCCGTTAAAATTTTTAAAGCCATTGTGTTGTATTCCAGTGGCTGTCATGAAGTCACACTAACATGCATCACCTCTGTTTTCTGCAGGATTCTCGCCTCCTGTACAGATCTGATGAAGGTAAATTTACTTAGTATTTGCATATAAATATACAAAAACATACATTTCACTAATGAATACAAGCAGGCAGGATGGAAATTCCAACTAATTGACACATTTTACTAACGTGGTTATTTACCAACACATTACTCTAGTGCTTATTTAAATGTAGTTAGCCAATAGGATCTGTGCCTGCAATGATGCAAACTTCCACAGTTGCCTGACAGTTTCTTTACAAACAAGACACAAATGTGGAAAGAGCACACAGCCGTTGTGCATATGCAATATTCATTGGCCTTTCCTGAAGAAGTGAAATTGTGGTCCCCTCTCTTATGTTATAATGGGGGTTTTTATTTGGCATTTACAGATTTTATTTGAGTTACATTACATATGACATTTCCACCACACCTGCACCGGCCTTGATTAACATTTAACAGCAGTCTGGATTCAACATGGTAAATATATATTTTTATACATTGTGTATAAGGGAGTTCACAACAATGCTTATTTCTAATTTTTTTCTTAGACCGCCTGAATAAATTTGACACAACCTTGAATACTTTTCTTACATTTAAAGATGTGTTATAGTGGTGCTTTTATACCCTCAGACCATAAGAGCTTTGATTCTGGCCTCTAAAGATCTTCAGAAGGAGATAGTGGATGAAGACAGGGTAAGTTAACATCTTTACAATGTGCCTGGATTGTTATATTTTTTATGCACGCATTAATTTACATTTAAAATGTTAAATGAGTTTGGTAGCAAAGGGAAAAATACCGATTTTTTTGTAACCAAACTTTTTGATTTCATGTAGGATTTCTCGTTAAAAAATACATTCTGCAAAACCTCCATCAGAGTATTATCTCCATCCCACTAGACTGCCCATCAAATTGTATTTATATTACTGGCGCTCTTTATGGAGAGCCAAGTGTGTCACCAATCTCAAGCTCTGGGACCGTATTTAACTTTTTTAAAGCCCTTTATGTAAACTATGATTGACCTGTTAAAGTCAGACCACCTAAGGATGAGACTGATAAAGCACAATATTGCACGCCCTCATTTCACTTTAACTTTATCGAGAACAATAAACAGGCTCGTTCATTTGTGGTGTTCCCTGGGGTTGTATAATCTGCAAAGGAAAAGTTTTTTTAAGCCACTCGATTGGATGATGGTTCCTTTCAGGGGGGTCATCACGTCCACAAATTAGTCGTCATTAAGCATATGCCTCATGGCTAACTTGTGTTGAAATTTGGACCTGATGAGGGCTGCCCCCAAAGTCAATCCACTGAAAATGAATTTCGAATTAATTTACTTGGCTTCATTTGAGTATTGACTAGAAGGGCCAGCCAAAGTTCACTCATAATTAAATTAATGTCTGATACTGTAAGCTACCAGCCCACCATGTTGTTTGATGAATGTAAAATATCCACTTGTAGTGCTTTCAGTTTTGTAGCATAAACTATTATTCATGAGTGTTGTTCACAGCTGCTTGTCTGTCTGCAAATCTTGAAAATATGTAACTGATTTTAGCAGCAGCATGTGATAATGATGTAGTTTTTAAGTTAAAGCAGACATAAAATCTATTCACATTTGTCTCTACATAAACATGCAAGCATTTATAAGTCAAATATGGGGAGCATTGTTTGGTTATTTTTTTTTTACTTATATTCTCCACAGTGATACTCAAATGATTGTTACCTGTTTAGTTTTTTAGTTGTTACACCGATGTAAATATTTTGTGTTTGTCATTTACATTGGATTTCAACAAATGTTGTCAGTAGTAGGCTTTCATTTTCGAGGGACGGCTCCCTCGATATGTCATGTAGCTCGAGCATTTGCGGTTGCTATGTCACATTTGTCTGCCAGGGGGCGACCTCGCAGAAGGAATTTTACGCCAAGAATTCTCGCTGGACGGAGGGACTGATCTCAGCTTCCAAGGCTGTGGGATGGGCTGCCACTATGCTAGTGTAAGTCTCCATCTTCTTTGTTAATGATAGACTCTTAATGGTCACCCAACTCTTAAGTCCCTCGCATGATCCACAGTCTAGATCATGTGGTGTAACCGTAGCAATGTTACATTTGATACCACAACATCCAGAAGTAATTTAAAGACTTTGCACAATCTACCTTCATGTATTGATTATTGCCTTTCAACTACAACTTTTCCTTTCACCATCCTTAACTTGACCTTCAAATATTGATTCTCAAAATAATATAATGTTAATCTTGGTTCCCCCCCCCCCCCCCCACCATATTCCTAAGCTGTAAATAAAGCTTCGGGATAAAATGATTAAATTTGTACATGTTGAATTGATTTGAATACCATCCTAATTTTGATATATCGTGGTATTAACTAGCTTTTCTGAGTGTGCTTTGTCGAGTTCAGTGGGAATTTGCCATTAAATACACGTACATTCTTGTTTCTTTGTTATTATAACAGATAAACACACTGCACTACTGTCACCAACCGGATCTGAATACAAAAACAAATCCTAGTTATGTAACTATATGCCTGTATGGATATATGATGCACTAGGCTCCTTTAAACAAATGACATATGACCCTGTGCAGTGATTCTAATTAATATTGCAATCAATAAACTGCTGCTCTCAACTACAAAGAGTGTTTATACAGTGTAACAGCCACCACCAATGCCTTTTGTTCTGTATCCCTGGAGAAATGTGAGGCATTGCTACTGTTTGAACATACACACAGCAGCAGCAATGCTTTACCATCGCTGTCTGTGCCATGTTACAAAAGCATGTGCTTCTGTTTTTTTTTTGCTTATAGAAAAACCTCAGGCCACTGTGGAATATAGGTTGAAATGCATTTGCAGGGCAAAGTGTGAGAGGCGTTATGCTGATTGGCTGCATAAATATGGGAGAGCCTTTTGGGCTTGTCTAGCTAAGCATCACATCCAGTCTCTGCACCGATAAGATTCCTGGATGAAACCTGTTTTTATGCCGATTGATTTTTTTTTACACGTAAAATACATCTATGCAATCCTTAGACGTGCACTCTACGTAACGTAAAACTCAACACAACTGTCAACAACACTGCCCTAAATAATATGGTATTGAATGAGCAATGATGTTGGCGAGTTTTTGTTTGTTATTTGTGCTTGTGATCTATTGGCAATGCAGCGGCACCAAATAATTGGTCTACATAATGTGTTTTTTCTTACCTGATCTGCGGTAACATTGTAAGCTCTTACGTTGCTTGCATCTTAGTACGACAGTATTAAAACTGCAATTTTATAAGCAGATGCAGATGTCTGTTTATAATTTGATAGGCTAACGTGGCTTTTGTTGACTGATATGCGCCACGAGCCAGGCGTGGTAATACAAATATTGCGTTGTGGAGTGAGCACCTGATGTTGATTAAGGGATTATTCAATTTAGGTTCATATTTGTGTCTGTCTATATTTATCTTGAGCCCAGCTTTGCAGAATGCTCTATTATATTCTTGAAATCATGTTCTGTTTCCTTTGGTTGTAATGACTTGGCATCTAAAAATCTGAGTTAGTTCGTCGGGTACCAGTTCACAAAACAAATGCATATATCTGTCAGATGGACACAATTGGAAAACACATCAGAGTATATATATCTTAGGCAGTTCTTTAAGATGGGCAGGGATCAAATCTTGACTTAAAGCTTTCGTGACTGCAGGAATTCATATTCTTTGGGTCTTTCGGTAAAGTCATGTAGATAGGTTCAAAGAAAATAACAAAAAACTACGACGTTTTGATCGCAACACAAGCGGTCATCATCAGGAAAAGGGGGGTTAGCTTCAAAAGGCAAACTGTTTATAAAGGTTTGAAATGGGCGTAGCCCAAATGTCAGCAGCATGGACGGGGCAGCTAATGTTAATGTAAGTGGTGGGCAGCGACCGCGATGGCTGTGGGTTTTCCACCAATTAAAGGGCTGCCAGGAAAAACTGTGCATGTTAAGATCGGTGAGCAGCCTCCACGGCGAGGGCGCTGAGGTGGCTATGTTAATGTGAGAGATTAGCATGTTAATGGGAGATCGCAGAGCCACCGCCACCTCTAGGTCGGCGCACGAAGGTGGCTGTGTTGGTGTGAGAAATGTAACCTGTTAATGTATCATCATATGAAGTGGAGTAGGTTGGAGTGCTGCTGAAAAAACGTTAATTGATAATGAAAAGCAAGGTAACAATGTGCAACAGAAGAAATATTGCAATCGGTGTATATCACTTGCTATGAAATCGGCATTGGAAATATGGCTATTGACAAATGAAATGGAACAAGTGCTCAAAAGGAGTGTGAAGAGAATCCTTGCTGGGAATTACAGTTAGAGACAGAATGTTGAACACATGAATGAGAGAACATATGCAAATTATATGCATGATATTGAAAGTTCAAGGATAGTGGGTTGACAGGGCACGATGCCTGGTGGTTGAGACTAAAGATGGGAGTGGCAGCTAAAGGAGAAAACATGCCTGAAAGGATGACCACCGCCAAGATAGAGGGATGAGGTCAACTCGTACGTAGCAGCGACATGGATTATTGCATTCTGAGACCGTGAGGGATGACAATGTTTGGGGAGACCTCCATCTGGCAGTGGATAGTTCATGTCTGATGACAAGATTGATGTATGTTCCCACATTGCAAATAGAGGTTCACCGTTTGGAAGATTCCTGGCAGAAAATATATTGTATGTAAACAGATAATATCAATGTAAGGTTTGTAAGTTGTAAAGTTTGTAAGTTGTAGGCTTTGTACGTTAATAGCCAGAGTTAATATAGACGTGAATGATCCAGTAGCATCTGTTATCATTTATTGGTATGTAATGTGTTGTTAAACTATCCGGGTGGCTTAGTGGTCGAGACAGCAGCTCACAATCGGAAGGTTGCGAGTTCAAATCCTGGTTGGGGGGCTGACTCGACCAATCATATCTCTGGGGTTGATAAAATAGGCAGTACTTTATGATGAGGTCAACAGTACTTTTTGTACAGACCCCCACCCCATAGAAATGTGGAATTTCCACCAATGGCTCTGCAGGGCTGTAAATAGGGGATGAGCACTGCCTCAATAATGCTAATTTCGTCAGGAAATCACTTTTAATGTGTCACGTTATGCTCTATGGGGTTATTATGTTAAGTTTGTTACTCCAATTAATGTGCTGGTAATACAGTCAGGGTCATCCATCCGGTGAGGCTGGTAAGGCAATCTCATTACTCAGCGTGAGAAGCTGATCCCCCATGGTGCTTTACAGAGCAGCTTTAATATACACATATATCACCGATGTATCAGTCTCTCTGGTGGCTTATGTTAAATGTCATGCTACTTTACGACACAGCAGCCACAGAAAATGAATGTCAGGTGGTGATCTGATTTACTGTACTGTGTTTGCTTTCGACAGGTACATGCAAATGCATTAATTAACGTACAAATAGAAGATTGACACCATTGCACAAACGAGCATGAATTGCTATGTAAATTAAGCCATATAGATACGTATTCTTGGTTCCCTTCTACGTGACTTTACCGAAAGAACCAAGAATATGAATCCCTGCAGTCACGAAAGCTTTAAATCAAAATTTATATAGATACGTGTTATGATAAAGATATATAATATTAAAGGGTAATGAAAAGATAGGGTAAGGTTTTGGAAAAAAAGAAGAAAAGGCAAAAAATGATGTGAAAGTGGTACATTTAATAGGGAAAATAAAGCAAGAACAAAACAAATAAATAATAGGAAAGTGTGGCATAATTCAAAGTAATTATTACACAAAAGAAATAAAGAACCATAATGGGTGCAGAAATTAAATTTAAGCCTCAACTTTATAATATATTCAGAGAAGCCCTTATTGCAGCCTTTGAATTATAAACACGAGTTACAACGTGTCAAACCAGGGTTTCAGACGGTGCACGAATATGTTTATCTCACCGGAGCCCGTTTATTTTGTACGTGTGTGTATGTGTGTGTATGTGTGTGTATGTATGTGTGTGTATGTGTGCACGCATGCATGCCCGTTGTGCATGAAGGGATGCAGCAGACCAGGTTTTAAAAGGTAACGGCAAGTTCGAGGAGCTGATGGTGTGCTCGCGCGAGATAGCAGCAAGCACGGCACAGCTGGTGGCCGCCTCCAAGGTAGGAAGCACAAAGGGCGATGCTCTAATCAGTCGCTCCCTGACCTGTGTGCTCGGGGCATGATTGCTTGTGATGGAACTCCCTGCAATGCTGATTTTTCTTGACGTGGTTTGAAAGGGGCTAATGCCTCTCATTACAACATGCCCCGCAATTTGAGCCTCGTTACAACTGTGTTTACATTTGCCCCTGATGGGTGAATTCACGTGTTGCATTAAAGTGAGGCTTAAGTTATAGTGTGAAACATCCACATTTAATTAAGAATGAAGACTCTTGGTGCGCTGAGCTAAATGTTGAAATGTTTTATGTTGCATTGTTTGGTAATGCGTCTAACAGTTTCATTTTTTTTGCCAGCGTTGGCACACTTAAAATTGTGAAGTAATATATTTTGTTAAACCGGCGAGATGTTGATCACAAAAGGATTATGCGTTTTTTATGTCTACACAGTATTTATAACTCTTGTAATACAATTTTAATGCTAAATAGTGGTTTATTAATAATTAATTTACATATTAATTAGGAATTACTTACATAGTTTATCAGTCACAATATATATTTTACAAGTGTATTTAAAGTGACGTTCGTTATTTTACGCACAATATTAAGTGTGTGTTATTTCAGGATGCGCCGTACTCACGGAAGGTGTTAAGTGTGACCAACAAGATATAAGTTGTAAGCACGCATGCAGTGGTAACAATTAAAAGATGAACCGATTCACGATTGGTATAATTTGATAAGATGTCCACGTGCGTGTGCATGCATGCACAGCTGTAGTATGTATTTTTTTACTTAAAACTTTCGTGACTGCAGGAATTCATATTCTTGGTTCTTTCGGTAAACGTCGTGGGTTTTTAGCTTTTATTTTTCAATTTATTATTTTAAATTTTAATTTAATTTTATTATTTGTATATGTAGTATGTGTGTTGAACTTATTTTGCACCATACATAGCCAATCGTGCTGTTCGGAGGTGCGGGGAAGGACAACAAACTAAACACAAAAACCAGTTCTAAAGAAATGAGTTTTCAATCGAGATTTGAAAGTGCATTGTGCTACTGGCTTCCTAATATCGGAAGGAAGAGCATTCCAGACAGCCGCAGAAGCACGATGCCGTGACAGTCTTTTTTTCGATGGGTTAGAAAAAAGCCGCTGCGAGGGATGACCGGAGTTTGTGCGGTGAATGTGGCTCTTCGACCGTTGCTTGTGCGCAGGTTAAGGCGAACAAGGGCAGCACTAACCTGCAGCGCCTGCAGCAAGCGTCGCGCACCGTCAATGAGGCCACCGCCAGCGTGGTGGCCTCCACCAAGTCTGGAAAGGCGCAGATTGAGGAGAAAGGTACTGAACCACTGCGAACCTCCTCGCATGTCAATTTGGTTGACGATTTGTTGATTTTGTTTTTGAGTCTTTCGATCGATTTTATGTATGTGTGCTTGTTGAGCTTCTTTCGCAGAGCACGTAGCCACACCCGTGGAAATCGGTGTGGGTTAGCTAATTTTAGATAGATAGTGTTAAAAAAAACATGAATTTAACATCTAATTTGTGACTTTTTATTAAACTCTAGTATGAGTTCAAGTTTGTATCCCTATGTGAGGTGTAGGTTACACCCTAATTATACAAACAAAAGCAATGTCGACGAATTCTAAATTCTCGGTATGAATTTTATAAATACATATATATGAACCGCTTTAAAGCAATATTCAATTTTGGAGGTAGCTGGGTTAGCCAGGGTGATGTCATATAAGCATACTGAGCCGACATTGCTGTGGCTTGAAGCTAGGCAGCCCCATATGATCAAACTGATTTCTCAAGTATAGTGAGTTCCTGGTCTTATTCCAGTTACCAAGCACAGAAAAAACTATATTGAAAGTGTTTTCACTTACTTTAGGCTCTGAGAATGAAAATGTGACAGCACAGTTAGAATATAATCGCAAAAAAAATCTAAAGTGAACATGAAAGTATAAAAGTAAGTAAAAAGAAACTGAGACTACTTTTTTTTTTCAATCTTTGCAGTGTAACATCCGATTTGTTAGAATAAAAATGGCTGAATCATGCTAACACATTTGACAAAGAAGGACTTGCAGACTTGATAACCTGCTGTGTTCCTTATTTTTTAAAATTATATTCACTAGAAACTTTCTTAAATGAGGTGCAGTTGATACGGTGGGCCAAGTTTTTCAAACACCACCGTCTCTGCTCACCCGGCAGTACAAATGGGCACATCACACGTTAGTCAATCAGCAGGTCGTGTAAAGTGTGGGTACTTCCACAGCTATTCTAAAATTTAATGTCAGTGTGGAAGAGTAGGCCAAGTAGCTTCTATAGGGGGCTGTCTAGAGTCTCCTGCTCATGCGTGCCCTTCCACCTGCTGGCAGATGAGCATGCAATTTGTATGTCTGCACCTTGTACATTTAGAAAAAACATATATAAACAACATACATTATTTGTCTATTCTTACATTTTCGGTACAAATAAATATATAATTTGTGTAGAAACTGTTTCACACACTTAAAATAATTCATGTGAGTATCACTTTTGTGCTCTGGTACCAAAGTTACTGTTGGCACCATCACCGCCGCGCTAGAGTGGATCTACAAGAATCCCTTGAGGTCTGGCCCTCATGGCGTATATATCTTGTCTGCAAGTGAATTATTTGAGTTTAAATAAATCCTGCATTGCTGTATCCCGCCAAGAAAATCACAGATTTTTGCCTCTCATAGATTCTCATATTATTGTCGATGTAGCTGTTTTTTGCTCTTTGGAGTTGGCGCTGGTGCGCTCTTTAAATTTACCCCGCTATTACATGCAGCTTCACTAACTCTGTATCTGACTCTTATTGCTTTTCTTCTTGGCCTTTCTGCAAACGTTCCACAAACATTTCAAAATTCATATCCTGCCTCTGAATTCATAGCCTTGCTTTATTTGTTTTCCGCATCGATGGTGCTCACGGCCCAGATGCGCTTTGTCTTTTTTCGGGGGTAGCTTTTGCCTGAGAAATCTCCCTCTCTGAGCTGTTGCTGCTAATGTATTCATTAATTATCCTTCCCTGCCTCTGCTTCTTCCTATTTGTTCCACTTATCATCTAAAGCACCACCATTTCTGCCAAACGTGCTTGGATATCAAAGGTTATACAGCTTCCCAGTTGTGAGTGATGATTTGAGGAATGTAAGTGTAGGTGGTATTTATGCTTGGCTCTGAAATGGGTTTTGGTAAAACAAATGTGTATAATGTGGTGATTTTTTTTTGCGGCACTGTCTACCCTTGTGCATGTATGTCAAGAATATATTGGGGTTCCGTGTTTTGCATTATTTTTCTCGGTTTAGGCTATACTGTACAGAAAAATTATGTTTTGTTGCAGAAACAATGGACTTCTCCAGCATGACTCTGACTCAAGTGAAGAGACAAGAGATGGACTCCCAGGTAAGGTGGCCCAGTGGTGGTCACTGTAGTCATATAGAGGTTGAATATGGGTGACTACATTCTCACCAGTCAAGTCCGCACACCCCAGACTCACCTCAATCCAAGCCACGTACATCAACCTCATTTTGTCATCTAGTACACCCAAGCCTCATCAGGTCATTCTCGACTAATTGTAGCTTTTCACGATGTTTTATTAATTTTACTGTTGCCATTTTAAATGTGTGCACTGTTGAACCAACAATTAAGGCAAGCTGGACACGTTTTGGGGACCCTTTTATGCAATATTGATTCAGCGACTGATATTGTTATGCTCGTGATATATGCATAGAATCTTGAATTGTTCATTTTAGATTATATATGTTGTATGTAATTAGTTCCATAACCCCTTCAGCCATTTGAGGTGTGCACATTGTATCACAATGTAAAAAAAATATATATATATCTTGGGAAATCATAAATCTCGTAATTGAAACTGACAATTGCAATGTTACATTTTGGGGATCGTTTCTGTGTGATGCTCGCGCCCCAGGTACGGGTGCTGGAACTGGAGAGCCTGCTGCAGAAGGAGCGCGAGCACCTGGGGGGCCTGCGCAAGAAGCACTACGAGCTGGCGGGGGTGTCGGAAGGCTGGGACGAGGAAGGTAGTAGCGCCATCGCCCCGAGCGCCAAAACCCACCATGGCCAATTTACTTTTGGATCAATTCACCGCGTGCTTTTCGTGGTCCCTTGTTACCCTTATCACGAAGTGCACTGCCATTTAATCGCGCAAATTCAGTCACCTGTCCCTTAACAAAAATGGGGACCGGGTGTGGGGGGGGAGGACGTTGGGGTGCGGGGAACCTAACAAAAACAAATGTTGATGTTACTCAGGGATTTAATGGGATATTTTTTTACTTCATTTTGTTTTTAAGGGAAGAACTATGGGCGATTTGGGGGAAGGTAAAAGCGAGACATCAGGACCTATTTTAATTCTTAAGTATTATTTAATATAAAGAGTTATGTTCATGTTAGTAACCAAGATTTTCAGTCAAGCCTATGATAGTAACTGCTGTTATTCCTCATCTATGTGCTCACGGGGATGTAAACGAAACATTCTGATCATGCGATACTTTGTTTTACGCGATTCTTCCTTTCACATTAACTGAATATTCAGTAGAATCTCTGAAATTAATTGTATTACTGCATAATTACAAGCCTTTGCAAAGGACCATTGTTATTCTTGAGCGCAAGCAATGTAACGAAATTAAAAGTTATCGAGGTAATTTAATTTTGTCGTCAGTTGTAGATGTTTTATCCTTGTCCAAAATGCTGTGCGTTGTTTTATTTACATATTAAATGCAAAAATACTCCAATATGAATTCAGCAAACAACCCGAGCTGTACCCTAAATAGGGGAATCCTGAGCTTAAGTGAAGTTTTCCTCGGCAGAAAAATAATTATTAATCATTAACCATGTTTTATCCAATGCTGGATGAAAACTTTCCAATATCACCGCCATCCCTCACAGTCCAGAAATGCCAAAGCCATCTTGCTCCTACGCATGAGTTGATCTCATTGCTCCGTCTCCCACGGTGGCCATGTGTCCTCCTTTGGCCCCATTTATATCACATCTCATCCACGTGCTCATATCTCATTTATAATTTGCATCAGTTCTATGATCCACGTGTTCATCATTCTGCCTCTCCGTGTTCGTCCCAGCATTCAACTCTGCTAGCTTATTTTCATCATTTACAACAACAAAAAATCATGTTCTGTCAGAGTGCATATGTCTAATCCATATGTCATGGCATAATTCTTTTTTCTATATATAATCTATAAAAATCATTCTTATCTAAGGCAAAATTGTGGATACATTTTTATTTTGAGCATGTCACTGCTTTCCATACAGTTTCTGCTTGCCAAGTGCATAGATCATTTGATTAAGCTTCAGAACCTGGAAAGTAGATACCCCCCAATAAACCAGATTCCCAGTGGTGACCAGGCCCAGTGCTGCCAAGGTGTGAAAACTGTTTAATGAATATCTGAAGGTCTGGCTAGAGGCTTGAAATGTGTGCTGAATGAATACAGCATACATGGTATTGAAACATGTATCCATATTAAATACATTTAATTCGACAGCGGTTTGAACTGTGTGGTTGAAATATTTGCAATAATATTTACAGCCTAGACAATTAAGTAAATTAGTCATCTCAAAATTGTAATAGACTACAATTTCTGTGGTCGATTACTTGAGCCCCTATAAAAATGGCAGCCACCCCCAACATCCTGCCTCCCAAAGGTGGGAAACCCCCTACAAGCCACACCCCCTGTGACATAGCTGATAATGTCGATGATAAGCCCCTGCCATCGCCTCCTGTCCAGTGGTGTACACGTGGGAACAGAGGTGGGACCTTTTTCCTGCTTCTTTGAGTGATCAAAACAGTCATTGGTAGAGTAATCAGCCCAGCTCCCGACGTTCCTTATGTGCTTAAGTTGTTTTTACCACGAGGTGTCAGACAAAAAAACCTTGAGTGATATTTCTACAGCAAAAAAACAAGCATGAGGATAAATCACACCCAAAATGTTGGCAAATACCTGAGACTGTTTAAAAACTCGATACAATGTTTCTCACGTCATGGAAGATGTAAAGAGCTGTAGAGGTATGAAACGAATGCGACAACAATCTTCACGCTACCAGTTTCATTGACCTTGCCCAAACTGATATCTAATTATCATACTTTAGCAAAAAAGTACACCTTGTAGTCCTCCAACTGCTAGTGTAAGCAGTTATTATGGAATAAGGCACTATTATAGAATATTGGAAAAAAAACACATTTACAAAATCAATATTTGAGCTTGCCATGCAAGAGTGGTAATTTCACACAAAGTGAAATTTGCATTTACACCATTTTTTTCTTCTGAGAAACTCTTTGGTTTGTGCTTGAATAGATTCTATATCCATAAAACATTGGTTCATTAGAATATCAGGAAAGAGTGCTGTAATTGCCAAACTCATGTTGGGCAGAAAGTTATTTAAGATTGACACCAAACAATAATGTATCTGATGTAAGCACAGCTTCAAGAAGATCGTGTACGTGCAACACAGTGCGACTTTGTGGTAAGAAGTTAGTATTTGTTTATTGCCTTGGGCGAGCGCTGAATTTCCATTTTAGTGCACACTTCATAAATGAAGCTGTTTACTCTTTGGAGTGCACATTCTAATATAACCTATCTCTAAAATGAAATTTTACTCAAGAAGCACCATGAACCAGGAGAATTAATTTCATAGATTGCACATCTTTTTTAAAGTTTAAGATACAGCATGTGTATAGCAATCCAACTAGCTGCAGGGCTTAATTTGAGATTTTTATTTATTTTGGATGGATTCCATATTCATATGCTGTTTTTTATGACCATCCTTAACTGGAATATATTGTTATTCTGATTTCTGAAATGGTAGTGAACAAGAAAGGATAATTTTCAACATGAATATGGAACATATTACAAGCTATTCCACTAATTTATCTTTGATGGATTAATTTCCCCGGACATAAGAGGTGTTTGTGGCTGAATGTGACATAAAAAGGGTGACATAGCGTTCACATGGTGCATTGCCAATGTCACGAGACATCTAGCAGTTCATGGATGTCCGCTGTGCAGTTGCATATTATTGCTGCACCGTCGTTACCCTCTGTGAATTGCACAGCAGGACCCGTGATATAGGAAAACGTCTCAACACGTTTTGCAACACCCACACAAAATGGGAGACGAAAAAAGATGCTTTGTTCACATGAGGGCATATTTGTTTTTAATGTTTAGCAAATCCTTTTTTACGTAACGTCGGCATTTATAGTTCAGCGGCAGCCTTGAATGCAATGGGTGCAAATGTAATAATATGCAAATGGGGCAGGTTGGTGCTTTGATTAGTCTATCACGAGCAGAGCTTTTACAGTGTTTGTTCACACCGGCGAACAACAAACGGTGACATTTTGTGAACAAGCTGTGTGCAATGCAGCAGGTGCAGTATATACTGTTCAAGTATGTGTCCTGAAGTAAAAACGAAGCTTTCTTTCCCAAAAACATTTTACGTTGTGCCGAAAATATTATTTTATAAAATCCCAGCGTTCCGTTTGTCCCTTTATGCGTTTGTCCCTCAATTAAATTACAAGAGCATTTCAGAAGCCCTTAATCAAAACGTTATAGAAAGTGGACCCCCCCCCTCAAATGTGGGGGTAAAAATTTGATCCAACAGGTTTACAACAACAATTGTCACCCCCCCCTCCCCCCAAAATCACTTCCTCCACCCCCCCAAAAAAAAATCTATTTTTTAGGCAAATATGCCTACTCACCCGACATACAATAGATTCAGTAGCATCTGCACATGGGGGGTGGGGAAGAAGAGGAAATCAGTGGAGGCAAAGCCCTCCGCAGGAGCTTGCAGCCACCGAAATTCTAGTATTTTAAATAGTAGGGATAATTGTGAACAGGCTGAATGAATCAAACAATACACATAACGTTTAACTGTTGAACGAGGCTGCATGGTGGGTGGGAGCCAACCCATTGTTTTGTGCAACACAAGAGATTCTGCTTGTTCGTAAATAGCAGTTTGTTGACGTATGCCTGTGTTATTATACATTTACTTTACCAAACGATGTTTTCCTTTAAATGTATCCTATGCAGCGTATTGTAATTGAGTCATTTTGTTCAGAGGCTTTGAGTAGGAATGCAATGATTCATCCTACTTGTGATTTCAAGAATTGTCACGATTTTGGGGTCATGATTTGTATCCGTTTTTTTTACATTTAGGTGAATATACTGCAGTAACAATAGTTAATAACAGGGATAATATTAACATACAGATAACATACAAAAATTCAACTGTTACATGCATGATTCAAATATATGCACGTATCATTTGCCGAAGAATATATGTTAATGAGTGAATCGACGCATTGTCTAGTTAAATAAAGTCACCGCTGTCTGCAGACTTGAGTTCAAGGTAGCTGCATTAATTAAAAAGTGCACTATAACAAAGAACAGTGATTTGCGATTAACAGTTGCACATTTATTAACGGTTTTTTTGCATTGTGGATTTATATTTTCAGATCAAAAATGAACATCCTTGGGATCAACTGTCAAAGTCTTCGGAAAATATGAAACGGGAAAAAAATCAGCACAAAATATTCTTCACCCTTTTATACATTTTACATTAAACAAAATAATCAAAAAGAAAAAAACACTTTTTCAGTATTTCTATATGGAGTATTTTAACTGTGTCAGGTTGATGATCTTAATGTTCCGGTTGTATCAGCTAATGCCGTGGACTGTACAGTTTTGCCATGGGGGCGGGGCAGCCAGGTAAATGTACTGCACCATACGTTTTACATGTTTGAGTAGTTCTACTGTTAACAGAGGATTGTTTTTTTTGTTTAAATGTGCACGCATTCATTGAGTAACAAATACCTGTTATCATTGAGGAATATTTTTCAGCATACATTGATGCATTTCGCCAATGTATTTGCCACCCCCCATCACCTTTGTGAGGATTAAAAAAAAAACTCATTGAAGGTTATTGACTCCTAAATTGGAGTCATGAACAACCACTGAATTTAAAATAATAGACTCAATTTTTTCTGTATAAAAAAAAAATCAACAATTAAAATTTTAATTAACTTTATGATTGAGCAGCTCATTGCTGTGCATTATCAATTGCTCTGAAAAAGGCAACTGCTTGAGATGTGAGTCCACTATGTATATTACATGTTTTTCAAAGGCAGAGTTAATAATCACATTGCGAGGTGTTACAGGATGTTAAAAAAAAATGATAACCTGCATACTCTATAAGAAAAGGTATCGGGGTATTTTGAAGTACACCTAAGCTGCAAGTACATTTCAAAATTGTCAATTGTCTATGGCGTGCGCACACTGGCTTTTGTGAATTATGTCGCAGAAATGTTAATGCCTTTTGCACCAGTGTGCTTTGCGAATAGTAGATGGGAAACTGAGAATCATACAATTGATCCAGTGCAATTGCATTGGCAGGGATTGTTTTTCGCCTGACTACTCACTCAACCAAATGTTTTCAAAATTATTTCTATTTTGGATCATTGATAAAGTTTGCGTAAAACTTCGAGGTGTTGTATCACAATTATTCACTTAAGTATATGAATCAGATATATTGCCTTTGTAGCGGAACAAACAATTGTCAAATACATTGCCGTTTAACTAATGGGATTTTATGATAATCGCTAGCAGACCATAAGAATGTAAAAGCAATATGGACCACCAGAGAAATTAACACCTTTGACAGGAAAATACAAAACATTATTTAAGTACGTGTAAACGGGCAGTTCAAGTATTCAAAGAGCCCACAAATGAACATTCGACGTCTTTGCTAATTGGATTACCGAATATATTTCGAAAAAAAAATCTAATGTCATTTTAAGCACAAAAAACAGTTGTGTAAGTGGTCATACTTACGGCAAAATTCATGTCAAATTTGTGTCAAGTTGAAAGCGAGAGTGGCAAGGATAATAGAAAATGTGACAACACATAATGCAACAGTGCTGTGCATAAACAGTCAGGTAAGATCACTTGCTTGATTTATTGTTTTTTATGATATACTGTAACTATTAATCTTTGCATTATTTAAAGTCGTATTTAAAAAATAAATTGGTAGCATTACAGGGGTCATATTTCATTGACTAACTTCTCACACTGGGGCTGAGAGATATATATCTACACATGTTGAAATGTTAGAGCAATTATCAGGCATGGATGCGAGTTCTGTATGGATCTAATCAACTGTCCCATCTTGGTCACTCCCGTGCAGTCCACGTCTTAAGCACTTGGAAATGGGAACACCGAGATGCTGAGAACAGCGAGGCATTTTCCAAAACACAAAGGATTTTAAAGTAGTGTTTTGTCTCACACTGTCGATTTGTGTTTCATAAAACTGTATTTATATTTTGCAATGCGACTGCTCCGGTGTCTTGTAACATCGATTGAAATGTTTTAAATGAAAAAAAAGAAATATAAATTTGTCATACCTAGACGATGCAATAGTCAGCATATATGTATATCAATTAATGAAACATTTTTTTAAAGGTTTTGTTTCATAATCTGCTTTCCAATATAGTTGTGGGTAAAAATGGCAAAAGGCACAATAGTTTATTTTGTCTAACCAGGTGAGAACTCACACGAGACCAGGATAGTCTCATTTGCAAAAGTAAACTGGGGCATTATTCTGCAAGTCGGGGGGGGGGGCAATGATTGTTATGTATAATCTCGATTGAGTCATTTACAGATAATTTATGAATTTGCCAAATTTACACCCTGACGCCAGCACGCAATGGGCTACTCGAGCAAATGACGTCAGGGTACCTCTTAACGTCCACTGTGAAGTGCACCGCACCTATTATTACACAACCGTAGTAATCAGGGCGGCCGCTGGATTAGAACCGTGAACCTCTGCAACAAGCGGCAAACGTGCTCCCGGCTAGGCCATACCACTGCCTAAGACAAGTGATACTGATATAGATGGAAGCTTGACATCTTCATTATTAAATGAGCAATAGGCTGGCTTGCCATGTATGTATGGAAATTGGTAAAATGACATGCCAAGAATGTGTATTGTGCTTCACTGACGACCTAAAATAAATCTTATTGGTAATCAGTAATGCACATCTTAGCTTATAAACTACTGTCCACTCGAGCGAATTCTTGAGAACACGAGTAATATGTGTAGGCAAAGCGGTGGTACCAATTTCCACCGTCTGACAAGATCCAGCTCTTTTTACCCATTTTAACAAAATAGGTGTTTGCATCACAAAGAGCTGAGCGGTTGATTTTTTTAGCCCTGACGTCAGAGCACAGAGCTGTAATCTAAGGGTTACAGGTGACACTCCATTTTCAAGCCGGGCGCAATCACAGGAGCAGTACTGACAAGTGTTAGAATTTCAATGGAAACGGAAATGTCAAAAATGCTTGGGATGGCACTCAGAGTTTGTTGATATTTTGGCATAAAACGTTTTGTAAGTATGCTGCCACCGATAGTAAGTGCTGCTGTCAAAGTGTACAGGTGGTTCTGATTTGGTTGTCATTGAGAAAGCCATTTTCCCTTTTATTTGAATTATGGGCTTCCATGCAGTTCTCCAATGCCTCAGTATGTTTGTGCCTGCAGGCTCCCTATGGTTTGTCACTGATAAAACTACTCAACCCCTCCGCCACCTTGATTCTCATCCTGATGTTCCCATAAAAACTAAAAACAGCAATTTGACCACATCTGCACAGCCCTAGACATCTATAAAGGCCATGAATTTCCAATCTTGCTGCAATACAATAACATTTTAACCACAATGCATGCTACACTGTAAAAACATACCCACACAAAAAAATTACATTTTATGCATTCAATGTTTATATTTGAGTTCAGTACAGTGGCATTACCTATAAAAACATTAACCACATTAATGTGTAGTTGTAGTGCTTTGATGGATATACGTATAATTATACTGTTCCTTGTAGCATTGATAATACAATCTGGCCCAAACTTTGATCAAGCCAGAAACATGAATAGGAAAACGGGGCGGGCAAACACCGAAACTCCACCTGGCCCATTTAATTTACCAAAGCACGTGGAATAGCCATTGCATAATGTGTCACATTAGATCTGCAGGCACATGGGTGTTAAAGCAATTAAAGCAATTACCCCCAACAAACGAAACAATACCATTCAAGCATACAAACACCTTTTGCATGCTCTAATTATATACCTAATTTGGCAACTGATATTCATAACTAAAAATGTGTGTGCCATAGTGCACACGTTCGGTAGGGAGCTTTTTCATACATTGCTGAACAGTGATGTTTGGTTTTACATTCATCATCCACAGGTTTATTGACACTCCTAATTTCAAAATAGAAGGCGATGGAGAGCATACCTTGCATAATTATAGAAGTGACATTTGCATTTATATTGCGACATGATCACTAACAGGAAAGTAGACATATCTAAATGAAGTTAAAGCTTACTGGCCAGTGATTAAATGTATCTGGACTGATGACAGTAGTCTATCAAACATCAACATTTTTGGCAAAATAAGTTGCAGAATAAATCCGTCCGATCAGTATAATAAAAAATTAGTTCATGAGTTGGGTTTCAAAGAACAGTTACAACTAAACCATGTTAGGTCTACAAGTAGAATAGATGCACATTTGAGCTGTGGAAGGGACAACAATGATAGTGCAATCGTTGTGTTAACTTTCCTATTGCAACCCTTGGCTTGACATACTTGTGCTCGAATAAATGATCTTATTTTGCATTTGGTGCAGAATCCATGAACAACTTTTGTTGTTACGCTGAGCATTGCCTACCGCTGTTATTAAAAGCAATGCACACTGTTTTAACCATCATAGACGGTAGCATGGGATTGGAAAATGCATTCATGTCGGGTCATAACTGCGAGTGCACGTTGCTCACAACAGGATGTGAGCCACTGGAAGAAAGTCGACTTCTCTACCGTTGTTCTTTTCAGCTGCATGATATACATCAAAGTTGGACAACATTGTGAAATGTCTAAAATATTAATACAGCTAATGAGGAATACAATGATTGTGAACGGCACCAATATTGCGGTGCAGGATTTTACATTCGTAATGTAAACCATCGCATGTGCTCCAAGGGTGTGAATTGAATACGTGAGTGATGCCAAGGGCACGTGAGAGCCCGAGCTTATGTCGTAGTCACACTGCATCGCTTAGTGCAACCGCCACAATAGTTTACAAGGTGTCCATGAAGGTATCATACATTATCAAAGAGTTATTATTATACAGCAGTTTGAGCTGCACGGTTAGATTCTGTACAAAATCACATCTATGCCAAAAAACGAAACGCTCGAGGAACATTCACCAATGTGTAGAGGAAGCATTTGAAACTGGAGATGTTCTGGGAACTCTCAAATCGCGAGACTGCGTGTTGCCATACCAGATATGTAGAGGTTGAGATTATTAGAGGGATGAAACTCCTACAATAAAATGCTTGTACTCCCGAGTGTGGCTATAATTTTATTGACATCCTATATTTTAAAAGTAAAAAGAAAACACATGGAAAATGCTTGGAATCTGTAATATCATTTTAGAAAGCTGCTAATTAATGGAAATTATGTTCATAAACTACAAAGCACTGCAAACATATGCCAGTGAATGGACAAAATATATATGTACATTTAGGCTCTTATAGTATTTTTGGTGAATGTTGATTTTGTTCGTCCTATGTTATTGCAAGCCTGAAAATAACAAGCATTAATTCCTGCATCGTCCTACGTCATGCATAGTATTTCTACTCTATACAGTACTGACATTTTTATGTGAAGGTTGTTTGACTTTTTGACATTCGTTTTAACCAGCGGTATCTCATGTCGATAGTCATGCATTGTAAATCTGTTTTACCTTGTAATACTACGGAAAATAAATTAAGGAAAAACTCTGCTTTCTACTTGTGCCAATGCTTTTTTCCCCCCAAAAAGCTTTTGATCCTGATATTCATGAAAGTCGTTTTTGACTTCACAAGGAGAAATGTCATAATTCACGAAGATAGAAACATTGACAATAACGTAATAACATTAACACAACACCTACAAGGCAGTCAAAAATATTTGAGAGACAAAAAGAGTCAGTTCGAATTCGGCGACCGCCCTGATTAAAACTGTGGGCGTGTACTAACCGTACAAATATGAACTGTCTGCTTCACAGTGGACAGAATCAGAATCTTTATATACACTGCAGGAATCCGATGAACTATGAAGTTATTCATGTCCAGTACATGGCAACCATTGCACCGCAACTGCAAAAACATGGCAGGACCCTCATAAACAAGGGTCATGTGAGACATCGGTGCTTTTCTGGAAAAACAAATGTAATGATACTTTTTTTCAAATACGAACACAACAAAACTATTTAGTTCAACTAATGTAACCATTGTTGAATGGACACAATTGAAAAACACGTAGGGCATATTATTCAAGTTGTACTGGGATAAAACTAGTTAAATAGGTGAGTGAGAACAGGTTGGAGTGATTGTGCAAAATGTTATTTGATAATGAAAAGCAACATTGTGTATAGCAATGTGCCTCACGGTGTATAGTACCTGCCATGACCTATGGATTGGAAAAATGGAAATGTGACAGCACACGGAATGAAAGCGTTAAGGTATGTAAAGAAGAGTAGAGATATGCATTGCTGGGATTACATTGAGAGGAACCAGGGACACAGATCATGTCAGAGATATCACATTGACCGAAGAAAAAGGGCTTAAGCACGATATAGTGAAGGGATGTACAGCATGTATGTTTAACTTCTTTCACACTGCACATAGCCAACCGTGCTAAGCAGATCGTCACTAATGTTCAAGACTGGTGACAGTGGTAGCCAAAAGAGGGGTAGATGCCCGAAAACATGGCCACCACAGAGATGGTGCAAAGAGATCAGCTCATGTGCACGACTGAGATGTGATGTGGCATCACTGGCCTCAAAAATACAGAAAATTTATATTATTCCCCACAAACTTTGCTTTTTTTTTTACCAGGACACAAAAGCAAAGTTAATAATCCACTCTATTAATAACACTGTGTAACAAATTTATTTATTTTTTGATCCTGGGTAGTGTTATTTCCTAATTGCTTATGCCTCAAAAATACAGAAAATGGCTATTATTCCCCACAAATTTAGCTTTTGTGACCAGGACAGTGATATTTTGAAATTGACTTATTTTCATTGAGAAAACGTGTGCATTTGTGTCATTCCTTCACATAAAGCCCTCATCACAAAAGCAAATTTTGTGGGGAATAATAGCCATTTTCTATACTTTTGAGGCATACGCGATTAGAAAATAACACTTACTACTCAGAAACAAAAATCGTGTTACATAGATCACACGGAAAGCCATTCATCCAACAATCGATATGCAATTGCTGATAATGATGAAATTATATGGAGGTGCTCTCCAATGTTAAAATGTATATTAATACACCAGTTACAAAATGTACTATTATTGAAACTTTAAAAAAAAAAGCAATATAATCTTCAGGGGAAATTTTTTTACGGAAAAATATGATAATTGTTAAATAAGTGCATTCATTTACTCTGTTAATCCATTTCGGAATGAAGGCCTCCCTACTCCACGCTGGTCGTGGAGGTTGTTTGACTGGACTGTACTTAATCACGCTGGTCTGTGCGGGTTGGTAAAGGGTATCACTCACCACTGCTGTTAACCATGACTGAGAATCAAGCTCAGGTCAGTGGGTTCATAGAGCAGCGTGCAAACAAAAAATAATTAATTAATTTTCACTCTCGGAATGAGATTCTTAAATGATGGAACGTTTGCTCGTGGGTGCAGCTACCTTGTAATCATTTCTCTTTGTCAGGCAAATGAATACGCTTCGTTTAACGAGGCCAGTTTGACACGGCTGCTAACGATCAGTATTGAATGTTCAGTTCACTTTCAAGATGAGTTGAATAACCAAGGAAACACATTTCTTAATCGCATACTTAACACGGCACTCTTAGCTTTCAGCATAAAAGCATAGGTATAAAATAAATTTCCCCACGTAATGGAGCTGAACTAAGACCTTTAAATAATTACCTACTATAATCACCCAGAAATGTCTGTCCGTCCCGCGCGTGACGTCACTCCACATGAGGCCCACCCCCCCCCCCTAATTAATATTCATGAGTGGGTGGATTTTTACACGAACGCAAAGGAAGGTCGAGCTAAATTAAATAATTTATTACGCAAAGTCGCTTCAAATATGACGTTTATTTACACCCCTCCCCTCATTAATAATCATGAGCGGGTGACGTCACTCCACATGCCGCACCCCTCCCCAAAAAACATTAGTGGGTGACGTCACTCCACATGGGGCAACCCCCCCCCTCATTAATAATCATGAGCTGAACAATTTTTCTATTGAATATTTCAGATTTGCTGCAATATACACCCGTCCTTAGACGGGCAAAAAAGCTAGTCTATTACATATTTATCTGTTAATTTGAATTTCCATGCTTAATTAATTTGTAATGAATAGAATACATACTTTTCCAATCCTCTGACCTGCATCAAATTGATCATTTTTACTGGCATGGATAATTTTTCGCCCAAGCACTTTGTTGTCCTGGGCGAATGGTCAAGATTATTCAAAGAGATATGTTTTACGACTCATTTAGCACCCAGAATCAGGGACATATTCTAGAAATTGTAGGCAATTTACATATCAACGGGAAGTTACTTGAGAGACATTTTCTAGGTGCTATGCTCAGTTTTTCCCATGGCTAACAATGATGCATTTGCACTGTGCTGCATTTTGTACAATTACTGGTGTTTTTTTATATTCTAAGAACTGCTTTTGAGTTATATGCCCGATGTGGTTTTCCATTTGAGACTGCAAATAACTATTCACACATTAACCCAGCAATAAAAAATAAATAAATAAAAATCTGATCCCAACAGAGCACAGGATTGCTGCTAGTGTATGCCTTCCAGTGTCATTGTGTGAAGAAAAAAATGGGAACTTTGAAGATTTAAAATAAGGTGTACTGGGAAATGTGATACACTAGTTTAGCCTGTGGCCACATCTTTAGCATTGCATTTTTTTCCCGCCTGCTGCACTTGTTTGACTATGCATTAATTTCCTTAATTCAAGAGAAGTTAATGGTTGAAGCACCTCCATATGTAGAGTTTTTTTACTCTACCTTCCTCTTTAGGCCATGCCCCTTTATAGTTAGCCCTGCCCCTTTCCCATGAGGCCCCACCCCTCATCTTTCGGCTCTATCCTTCCTCCCCCAACACTATTTAAAGATACTTCCCTTTTAGAGCAATATGCCAGGAGATGAACAATATCCGTTCAACGTTGATCATTGTGTCTGTCAATCTTGAATATTTGCTCCATATCCCTGTACTAGCCAATCAACCATCAATTACCTTCAGCTAATCTTTGAGGTACACTGATTTTTGAGGGACACCCAATTGCTTGCCTGGTATTTTGTTAGATCGAGGAAAATAACGGAGAGTGGTGCCATGATAAGAACAGGACAGAGTGGAGGTGGAATTAAGTATTACAGCTCTGCCCCTTACATCCGTGAAATATAATAGCACGTTGTAAAATTTTGACTGAAAACTTTCGTGACTGCAGGAATTGGTTCTTTCGGTAAAGTCACGTAGATAGAAAATAAAATATATATTTTTCTATCTACGTGACTTTACCGAAAGAACCAAGAAACATCCCCTTACATCCGTGAAATATAATAGCACGTTGTAAAAATTTTGACTAAAAACTAAATATACATAAAGAACCACACGGTGTTTCTGAGAGCTACATTACACAAGTGTAGTGTATAATACACTGAGTCTCACACACTGTAGTTGGAGGCAACACGTTTAATAAACGCAACCCTAACAACTCGGGTTCTCTAGCCAGGTGTGGCTATCTGTTCGCTATGTGCGTGCGACTCACGATACTGAGCTACAACCTAACCGACGACGAGGAGCGAAGAAACAAAGAGAGGAAGGGACGCGGGACTCCAAGCTGCCTATGTTTGTTCTCTCTCTCTATGTATCTCTGTGATATCTGTCTGCTTATATGTCTGTCTATATGTTTCTGGTTCTGTGCTTTATCTCTCTCTCTCAAATTTAGCATTCTCAGGAAGAATGGAATCAACCAGGTAGGGTGTTGACTGTTATGTTATCCGACTCTCTGTTGTATTGCATTCCATTTCTGAGTATACTAGATTTGTGTTTCTATTTCATTTATACCTGATGATTGCTTGTGTTGCAATCGAAACGTCGTATGCTAGTATTTAATTTGTTATTTTATCTTTATACGTGACTTTACCGAAATAACCAAAGAGTAATTCCTGCAGTCACGAAAGTTCCAGATTAAGATTCCCCACAATGGACCCCAATCCCAGTCGGGGCTCCCACTTTATTTCCCTGGCCGCGGGCTCGCCCCCCCCACCCCCCCGCTTGGCCACGCCCCCCGCTTGGCCACGCCCCCCGCTTGGCCACGCCCCCCCCGCTTGGCCACGCCCCCCCCGCTTGACCACGCCCCCCGCTTGGCCACGCCCCCCGCTTGGCCACGCCCCCTGCTGAATCAAATAAGGAGCTCCTGGTTCCCTGTCGTGTGTCCCTCCATTACCCGGCACTCAACAGCACTTGTGAAATAGTGGCTGGCGCTAACCATAGAATGACAATATTTAATGTCACTGCACAAGCATTGAATGTCAATTATGTTGATTGTCATGGCCAAGGACAAATTGGCTCAGTCAGATAAAATATGACAGCAGCACTTAAACTAACTTGTAATTTTGTTTATGCATTTACCTATGTTTTTTTGAAACGGTAAACATACTCTTCCAGATAAGCTAATTAGGGTGCAGCAGATCCTATTAGAGCGTGGGCTTTGAATAATTTTATTTCTTTAGAAAAATGTCACAGT